TTCCTGGACGTCACACTTACGCTCACTGTGAAACAAAAACATGCCGGTGGGAGATCCAGATAGCCGTGTCTGATTCCCACAATTCCCAATGACACGCAGTGAACTCTGATTTCTGCGAAACAGGCGCCAAATATCTTTAACAGACGTGCACCTCACGAGCCTTACCCCTCAAAGTGATACTGCTGGTCTTATTGTGTAAGAGGAGTTACATACAATTCACGTGACTGCATGGGAAGCAGTGAGACCTCCAACCTGAACCACATATGGGCACAAAGGGAGGGAACCAATGAGGAGAGAGCATGGAGGAAGGCAACTGATTGAAAGACTTGGTGATAGAAATAGGGAATGAAACATGATGATGGACGAGGAAGAGTGTGAATAGGGAAGGATGTGGAAGCTTTAATAATTGGGGATTTTAATGGGTTTAGATTTGAGGTACAGGATAGGGTCTTCCAATGCTCACTATTAAGTACATGTTTGTCCCATTTACGATAGATTTAATAATATGTTATTGTCAAATCATGTCGGAAATGTACTTGCATCACAGCAGCTTCATTTGCAACATCAACTAGGATAAATATATAAAACAAGAAACAAGAAAACAGTTATCATAACATGACAATGCCCGAAGACAGTTTGTTTATAACTCCGTATTTGATCTTAGGATACACTGGTGCTTCAGTCTGATCGTGGGGACCAAGGTCTCTAAATGCCCACACAAGTGAATCATTCACAGACAGTTTTATGTTAACAATTCATACACGCTTTTCAGGACATGGTTGGGGTCAAAGACACTGTTGTTGGCCAGTCTCAACATGTTATAGATAGATAGATAGATAGATAGATGGATGGATGGATGGATAGATGGATGGATAGATAGATGGATAGATAGATAGATAGATAGATAGATAGATAGATAGATAGATAGATAGATGGATAGATAGATAGATGGATAGATAGATAGATAGATAGATAGATAGATAGATAGATAGATAGATAGATAGATAGATAGATAGATAGATAGATAGATAGATAGATGGATAGATAGATAGATGCATTTGACAAAAAATGTATTAATTAAAACCCATTGACTTTGAATGGGGAACCAGAATCATAGGAATCATAAAAGAATAAATGACCACACAAGCCACGTGTTAAGAAGTGCTAAAAAGAAAAACTAATGTTAAGGTCTTACATCATATGTCACTTGTTAGACGATTTTATCCAAAGCAACATACTCAATACTGTGGACAATCCCCACAGGAGCAATTTGGGGTGAAGTGTCTTGCCCAGGGACACAACGACATGCAGTTATTAAGGCAGTGGGGTTTGAACCTGTGACCCCCTGATCCGAACACCAACGCACTAGTCCACTGCGCCACACGGCATCATAATGGGGTTCTTCAGTTTTTGGTAGTGTTTATCTTTTAGTTATGAATATTTTAGTGATTCTCACATTTTACGTGATCATTTGTTGCAAAATTGCCACCAGGCTGTACTCTATTTCCCAGACCTCACAACACCCTACATCAAAGAGGAGGGGGGGTCTTTATATAATCTTTGTTGCCATCACACAACAACCGCAGGAAGTGGAAATACGCTCAGGAGTAAAAGCATTATTTCAGCCCCAAGGTGTCCTATTTTAATTTTTGTACTAAAGCATTGATTGCTTATTGAAATATCACGTGCCAAATCATTCACAGTTTCCTGCAGATATGTGAATGAAAGGTCAGGATGTTGTCAGCGGCAACATTATCTCATGTAAAGGATGTCATGAATGGGTTTTTAAAAAAGGAGGAGGTGTAGGGAGGAAGCCAGCCATCAAGTCTGTGTAGACTAAAGGACAAATACAGATGGGATTTTGGCACAATCGGAACAGTTTAGAGGAAAACACACAGGAAGAAATACTCCTGCACTAAATTATTAACACACGCAATATCTGACAGCACTCAGTGATGATGACCACCATCAGGACAAAGCACATCATTAATCAACTAGGAATTGTTTCCACCATAATATTTACAGTATACTTCATTACTGTACTTAAAGGTGGGTCAGGTAAGTTTGAGAAACCGGCTCGAGATACACTTGTTGTTATATTCCATGGAATGCTCTTAACATCCCGATAGCAATGAATACATTAAATGCTTTGACAAAAAATCCATACAAAAATTTCATCTGTGGAAGCTGTAGTGCTGTAAAAAGCACGACCAATCATCTGAGCCGGCCCGGCTAAAGTAACTGGATGGCCTACCTGCCTGTCAGCCTTCCATCTGTGCACAAACTTATCTCGTGCCCTCATTGGTCATGTGCGCGTTCGTGTGTGTTGGAGGAGGGGCTCTGTAAGGAAGTGGCAGATTTTCTCCGGCTGTGTATTTTCAAATTCTAGCGCGCTCGAGCTGGTTTCTCCAAAATTACATACCCCACCTTTAAGTACATTTTTCTGGTATCAGTACTTTACTCCACTACTTATTTTTCTGATGACTTTTTACTTTTACTCCTTACAGTTTGAACACAAATACCTGTACTTTCTACTTCTTACAGTTTGAACACAAATACCTGTACTTTCTACTTCTTACATGTTGAACTCAAACACCTGTACTTTCTACTTCTTACATGTTGAACCCAAATACCTGTACTTTCTACTTCTTACATGTTGAACTCAAACACCTGTACTTTCTACTTCTTACATGTTGAACTCAAACACCTGTACTTTCTACTTCTCACATGTTGAACCCAAATACCTGTACTTTCTACTTCTTACAGTTTGAACCCAAATACCTGTACTTTCTACTTCTTACATGTTGAACTAAAATACCTGTACTTTCTACTTCTTACAGTTTGAACACAAATACCTGTACTTTCTACTTCTTACATGTTGAACTAAAATACCTGTACTTTCTACTTCTTACAGTTTGAACACAAATACCTGTACTTTCTACTTCTTACATGTTGAACTCAAATACCTGTACTTTCTACTTCTTACATGTTGAACACAAATACCTGTACTTTCTACTTCTTACAGTACATGTTGAACTCAAATACCTGTACTTTCTACTTCTTACATGTTGAACTCAAACACCTGTACTTTCTACTTCTTACATGTTGAACTCAAACACCTGTACTTTCTACTTCTTACATGTTGAACTCAAACACCTGTACTTTCTACTTCTCACATGTTGAACTCAAACACCTGTACTTTCTAATTCTTACATGTTGAACTCAAATACCTGTACTTTCTACTTCTTACATGTTGAACACTAATACCCGTACTTTCTACTTCTCACATGTTGAACTCAAATACCTGTACTTTCTACTTCTTACAGGTTGAACTCAAACACTTGTACTTTCTACTTCTTACATGTTGAACTCAAACACCTGTACTTTCTACTTCTCACATGTTGAACTCAAACACCTGTACTTTCTACTTCTTACATGTTGAACTCAAACACCTGTACTTTCTACTTCTCACATGTTGAACTCAAACACCTGTACTTTCTACTTCTTACATGTTGAACACAAATACCTGTACTTTCTACTTCTTACATGTTGAACTAAAATACCTGTACTTTCTACTTCTTACATGTTGAACTAAAATACCTGTACTTTCTACTTCTTACAGTTTGAACACAAATACCTGTACTTTCTACTTCTTACATGTTGAACTCAAATACCTGTACTTTCTACTTCTTACATGTTGAACTCAAATACCTGTACTTTCTACTTCTTACATGTTGAACTCAAATACCTGTACTTTCTACTTCTTACATGTTGAACTCAAATACCTGTACTTTCACACAGGTAGGTAGGTAGGTAGGTAGGTAGGTAGGTAGGTGTTGTACAAATAGAAAGATTGACCCCTTTAGATGTAAGAAGTCATGAATGATCTTGTTAAACAATCTGAAGTCAAGTCTGACCATTTTACTCAAATTACATGAGTAGTGTCTTATCATAATTGTTCAGTTTGACCAATTGGAGTTGTTTCTCTCAAAGCAAAACATGATGTCACACCCCAGCCGTTCATCCATGTGAACATGGCCAGCTGCTGGTAATTGTGGGAAAGGGATACTAGGTAACGCCCAGATTGAGACCATTGGAGGCCAAATGTCTTTGAAGTGAAGCTGGAGGAGCTCAGCAGGTCTGTCTGTCCGCCCCCCCCCCTCCCAACCGGGCCTCAGAGGGTGATAACACTTCAGTAGCAACGGTGTTGGTTTAAACTTTAAGATATTTCTAGTAGCGCAAGGTCAGTTATGCAACCATACTGTAGTGCAAAGTGACAGGCACATAGGTTTGATTTCACTAGGTCTGTTCCAGACAATTGACGTGGGTGGGATTATTTAAAGCATCCATGAGCTGTCAGCTTCATCAAAACCTTCTTATAGTGCTATCTGTTCTTAACTTTGCGGTATAATACCTTATATTGTTGAAAGGTTGAAGGCTGACCGTGAAGCTAGCAATGGTTTCCTTTCAAAAAGCCATGTTAGATTCTTAAAGAAGACACCGGTTTACGTTTTTGATACAAACATGTTTTAATAAGTTGGGATAACCATCACCTTTTTGAGTTGTTAGTGCAATTGGCAGTACTAAAAAGTCACCATCGCTAAGCTATATGTGGCTAATGTTCGACGTTTAGTAGTCTCATTTAGCCAATTGTTAGCAACCATGTTTTTTCACACGTCAAGTTTCAAAATTCCCCACTAGGTTTCCCTGACGTATTTTTTGTGGTAAAACCACGTTTTAACATAACCTAGTCTGATATTTCATGCATTTGACAACAAATGTATTAATTTAAACCCATTGACTTTGAATGGGGAACCAGAAGTGCAAAAATGTTGACAAATGTTCCGATTTAGAACTCTTTCTATTAAGCAACCGAAAGAGACATCGGAAGACAAACTCTGCTTTTATGTTTTGTAATACTCGCTTTAACTGTAATTTACTCTTTTGGACTTCAGTGAAAACCAATCTCATGTTTTTCCTCTCATCTGTGTGCCCTTTAGGTAACTGGGGAGGAATATGTTCGCAGCAGACCACCCTGCGTAACGGCAGGAAATCCACCCTGAACACCGGTCTGGTCACCATTCAGAACTACGGACAGTTTCTGCCTTCACGACACGTCCAGCAGACCTTCGCTCATGAGCTCGGTCACAGCCTGGGATCTCCGGTCAGTCGCCTTCTCCAAAAGCTAACCAATACTAAAAACATCTTTCTGATACCAAGAAAAGACTAGGTTTTTTTTAAGTGCCTTGTATCAGAATCAGCATCAGAATACCTTTATTCGTCCCACAGAGGGGACATTTATATTTGTTACAGCAGAAAAGAGCCAAAGACAGCTTAATACTGACCAACCACTCATGGTTACAGTGAATATTGCGCAACTTTCATACCATGACATTCCACTGATGACTAATTGTAAAGATAGTTATATGTGCAATGTGCATGTACAATATAAGCCGTTTTATCCTTTGCCCTTTCACAGATGTAGCGGAAAACAGTAGAAAAGTCATTGTCAGACACTCAATTACTGGCTGGCAGTACTCAATTTTCAGTTATGGTGAAGGGTGGAGCCTCGGTAGAGTGTGCAGGAGGCTGGTTTATTGCGCGTAATTTGTTCAAAAACAACAAGTCCATTGCCGCCTCCTTGAACATGTCTTCAAGTTTTGCCGTTGACCCCTAAAACCTCTGCTTCAGCGCCAAAAATCTCTCCTGTTAGATATGTGTATGCCCGTCTTTGTGTATATTGCCCATTTTCTTCACATGTGCATTAACAATGTTATTTTCCACTTTTGTGCCAGCCGCAATAAAAACGTCTTCCTTAATACGCCTCACCGTGAATGCACAGACCAGACTCTATAGCAGGGAGAGTCCGTTTACAGTCCGAATAAATGGAAACATTTTCTCACGTACAGCTCTTCCGATTAATGCCTAGATAACATCAGGGTTGTAATGTGTGAAGTGTGTGAAAGGGGCCATAGATATACAACAACTCAGATGGGGAGTTTACAGAGACAAGTGTAGACAAATCGTTCCCTGTTTAAGGGTGGATTCTCTTTTTGGTTAGTGATATACTCACTTCTGTACCCCTAGTGATAAAATAACAAAAGCTAAACTTGTCTTCTATTTGTGGATGTCTTAGGTGCTACTGCAGGCCAATGGCTTGTTATGCTTCTTGTGCTTTTTCACATTAAATACAAGATATTCTCAGGTCTTAATAATAATATCAACAATGGCTGCATTGAAACTTAAAACATGTCCCAGGTGCAGGAAGCAGAGCTTGTTTATTTGCTCAAAGCACCCACATTAGATGGAGCTAGCTTTAAATCTAATGTGTTACACTTGAGGATTTTTTCCGCCATACCATGTCAAAATGTCTGTGTAAAAGGTTTCAGCATAGCAAACCCTAAGTGTAGTATTTCAGATGTTTGTTAAACTCTTGCCAGTTTTATTCTCAGCCCTTCTAAGTGCCCCAGAGAACCGAGAGTTCACCCGTTTCTTATTGAACACAAAGCTGCGTAGGTTGCGTACTGAATGACAATTCAACATGAGGAATCCATGTAATTCAAGATTTACCTCACATACTGTATTCCCAGAATGCATGGGCTCTGCACCGCAACACATTGTCTGTGAATGATTTCTGTGGGCATTATAGACCTTGGCCTGTATTGACTGGTTTGTTTCATAGCGACTCTTGGCTCAGCTTCACTAGATGATCGGAAATAACAGATCAGGAGAATTTCTCTCTCAGCTGTTTTTTTCTGAGTATTTGCATTTACAACCTCCTCCGCCATAATAACCCAGTTTCTTTAAACACACACATGCATGCACCTCTCTCCACGTGTGATGGCTGCTAACACCTGCAACCTTTCGCCCACTGCCCAAAATGCTCTCAGCGTTTGTCACCCTGCCCTCTGTTGTTCACACTTCCACAGACCAAAGAGGCGCTCTTGAGCCCATTAGTTCTGCTATGTCAGACCCTGCAGGCTTTTTACAAGTTCAACTACCGTCATGCTGGTGCCAGGGCTCCTGTGACAGGCATGTCTCATTGTTCCCAGATTGGGAAGGCTAGATGAAGCACATGGTGAGATATGAGCGCGGGCTATACCTGATAGGAAGGAAAGAGGGGGCTGTGATGCAAAGTGACTTCTGGGTGGAGAGCTGCTTTGGTCTTTTGTCCCTTGTGAACACACGTGCATACGGTGGTTTCAAAAGCTTTGTGCAATTTCATGCACAGAGGAAAAATGAATTGAAGGATATCGTAGTTGTGCTGCTGCCCCATTCAAAGGGAAGATGTGGTGGTTTAGCACCGGAAAGTCCCAAAATGGATTAGGAAGGACCAGGTCAAAACCGGAGTAGTGACAAAAAAAGTTGGCATTTATTAACCAAATATTTACAGATCAAACTAAATCAAACTGAAGGAAAAGAACAACAAACAAAAGAAAGCTACAACCTGACCGCATGCTGCCAACTCAGGGTCGGCTCTAGAACAAATCGAATGGGGGGGAAATCATTTACCACGGGGGGGGGGGGGGGGGGCACACACTGCCGTCAACAACCAACACACAAACACCAACGCAACTTCAATTAAAAAAAACATGCTGTAAAGTCTATTGTCTTTCACACACATTGCAGGGGTGTGCTATTGTATAGCGCACCTATGACTTCTGCAGACATGCACGGTTGTGGCACGACCACCAAAACAGAAACATATGGACATAGGCCACCATATAAAAAGTGTGCAAATGTATTTAGTATCCTATCCATGTGAACATGTTTTAGGTGGGGGTGGACCTAACCTCCTGTAGGAGGGTCCGGGGGCATGCTCCCCTGGGAAGATTTTGTTAAATATTGAAGTTAAAAGCATCAATCTGGTGCACTTTGAGAGCAAAATGAAGAGATCTATGGATAGCCTACATCTCTCAACACCCAGATTAAACAGAACTGTAAACAGATGGACTTTTTCTTTATGGATATTTTACTAATCACTCCCCCTTTAAACTGTATTCTTGTGTTACTGTCCTATAGTATTTCATACCTGTTTTTCATTTATGCTCTTGTTTTATAGCCTAACTATAATGATCATATAAAGGTGTTCCTCGCAAATACTTGTTTACATAAATGGTGACCAAACCGTTTGAGACCCACTGAGATAACTTAAAGTGAACTATCTCAACACTGAGAGAGTCCTTTACCTCACTGAGCTGACGTTATAAGAGCCTCTCAGTCTGACAGGAGAAGACTCTCCTCCACCTTGGTGTAGAAACAGCTCTTTATATCCGTTAGCATAGCTAGCTAACCAGATGCTAACAACAACATTCCACGTTACCACTCGCGCACTCACAAAATGCGCCACACAGAGCCGAGCTTGAATGAAACACAGAGACCCAGAAGTACTTGTACTGTACTGTATATCATATTATTTTCGATGGCTTACTGTATAATGAGTGTAACAGATGAACAGATCGCCACTGGGCTTTCATCTAAACACACAGTCACGTAATGATAACAAAACAAAGGTCGGGGGTCATTGGTCAAGCAACACACCAATCAGAGAGCAGCAGTGAGCACACCTCAGGCTGTGTTTTATATTTGTATTCTTTATTTCTGATTTATTTCACACAAAAAACTTTTAGTGGAAACGTTTTCAGTTATATGATTTTTTTTTAAAACGGCAAAGTGGCAAGGCTTGCCCGACCTGCGTTGGGGGGACACAGTGACTCATTTGGGGGGGCATGGCCAGCAAATGACCCCCCATGAGTCATGACGCCGACCCTGTGCCTGCTCCCCAGTCCAAAAACACAGCCCCAGGAAGTGTGTCGGACAATTAAGCAAATATTCATAGTGGCCAATCGGTGGTACTACAACCTCCATGAAGTCATTAACCCCAGAAATAGTTGTTCCATTGACTCACATTGGGAAAGAGATGTCTGTGAAGATTTTTAGCTTAACAAGATAAAGCCCTTACTTAAAACATTATGGTCTAAAAGCTGTAAAAGGCACTAAAAGCCAAATTCATATTTATTTTCCCTCTCTATTAATTTGCCTGAAAATAGGGTGGCAAATAGTTGGTGGGGCTTAATTCAAGATTCAAGGCGTAGTGTCATTCGTACATAGCTACAGTGTAGTTATGTCGATGAAAAACTCCTCCAATAGTGCAACACAATAAAACAGATAAAATAGTGCAAGTAAATACAATAAAATAGAATAGAGTATAGTGCCATAAGAGTCTATACAAGTGATACATCATTTGTAAGTTGCAGACATGAATGTTATGGATGTTCGTAGTTCATGTAATGAAAACTGTAATCTGCATGCTCTATGACCCAAGCCCGGGATGACCCTGGTCCATTTTTGCTTTATTTGCCACCAAGCAACTCTCATAGAGGGGCCTGCCTCCGACACTACATCCAGTTCTCTTTATACATCCATGCTTAAAGCCTGGAAATGAGCTGCTAGAGCAATGCTACACTTCCTGATTCCTTCTGTTTTAACACAAGCTTTAAAAGATTCTAAAGTGCAGTTGAAATGTTGAGCGTTACATGTGTTTTCGAAAAGGTGGTTGCTGAAAAGTGGCTCAGTGAGACTAAACTAAATGTCATTACGCCAAATACAAATGGCCTTTAGCTTAGTGTTGATGAGGCGAAGTCATTTACACGTTGCAATTGTTTTGTTCAGAGCAAATTGTTAGAGTTTACCCCTAAAGGAGTTCATTTAAGCTTCATCAAATCAGAAAAGCTTCCTCATTTGAACATATCGTGTAAGCATCACAAAATGTTGTTTTCCACAGATCCAAAACCTAATGTAAACATTATATTAGATTTTGTTGAGGGAACCGCTGCTATTTTAACTTTTTGTATCGGCCTACAATAATACTTCATCCCAGCACCATTCTACAGGGCAAGCTACACCCAGCATCTAAATCCAACAGAATAACAAACATACCATTAAATACAAAATCTCTAAATGATTTCTGACTTCTTAATCTAGCCATTGGCATCCATCCATACCAACGAACACAACACATATTATATAATTGAATTCACAGCTACCCATCTAATTACTAAAAGCTACAACATCAGATTAGGAGAAGGCTTAACTTGTTATCCACCAAAACCAAAACACTTTACAGCTGCAACATTTCTGTTAATGGGTTTCATCTTAAAGCTGCATCTAGATCGTGTTGGTGTTGTAACAGAATCTGTAAAACCACTACAAGTGTTCAAGAAGTAAACAGGAAGAGCTGTGAATCTGTCAGAATATAGTAGTGATAAACACCCATACGTGCTGTTCATAATTTTCTCCTGCTGCTTTTCACATTTTCCGTTTTCGTTATGTCTGCAGCCGTAAATCTAAATCCCTGCGTGACACCAAATCATACTAACAAATAACGATAAAAACACCATCTGCTGTGACATGCAGTTATGTTAACTCCAGAGCTACACACGGTGACACACTATCAATTACATCCATCAAACTTATTTAAAACAGATGCAGAAATATGGTCACAACCTCATGTTCCCTCCACATGTGTCCATGCTACTGTTGAGTCATAAAGTCTCAAGGAAAATTTTTTAATCCGTCTCATGAGCAGGTTTTTATGGTCCTCGTTGTCCCGCATGTGGAACCGGACATTCCTCCGCTGCTTCATGGCCGTCAGACTCCAGGGAAACCTTTTACCTGCAGACAGCATATATTTACACAACAAAAATAACTTTAAAAATCAAAGAAAATTCTTTCAGATTAATTGTGGGGGAAACTTCTGTAGCAATGGAGAGTCAGGACTCAAAGAGACACGAGGAGAGCTGGAGCTTTGATGGCAAACACTGACGGTTTATTTGAAGTTACGGCCGGAGAATTTACAAGACAGGTGGTGCGTCACGAGTTGATACAGCGGTTGCCAAACCAATTCTGAAGAACTCTTTCTGCAGCTCGAGGTTTTAACTAGTTCAGAGTGTAATAATCAAGATTCTTCATCAGTGAGACTAAACAAATATGGACCCTGAATCTAACTAGAGCTCTCGTCCATAGAAAAGAATGTGCGCCAGGGAGCCTACGTCCCTGAACAGTAAACTACCTCATGGCGGCTTGTGCTCGGTCATAGACTGGCAACAACAATGAGCCCAAGCTGCTCCTCCATAGCAGCAATACCCAAGGCCGTAGAACTGTGCCATGAGAAAAGAGACAGTGAGAGGAGAACATGATGAACTGTGTCGAAGGTTGAATACCTAAGCAAATTATTCCCTAACACAAATGATTGTCAATGGGCTTCAAAGAAAACATCTGTAGTTGTACTGGTTATGATGAACAGAATTAGAATCAGAATACCTTTATCTATCCCAGAGGGAACATTTGATTTCATAAGAGGTGCTCCTTCTCATGTTAAATAAACTAAACTTAAATAAAATAAAATCCAAATATTTGTATAAATATAGAGAATTTAAGTACAAATGTGCACAGTGTATTACAATACATAACAACAATACATCTGAACAAATATGTATATTAAAATATATAAAGCAGAGTATTACAAATGAATTGTATGTTTCCCCCACCCTGCTGTTTTTGTCTTTTGGCTGACTATTTATCAAATTACCCAAAAACGTACATTTGTTTAGTGAGTAGATAAATAATATATCATGAAAAATCATTTAAAGGTACATTTTAGGCCCATTTGTACGAGACATAAAAATACATGAGAGAGACAGAACTCTTACGTATCATAAAACAATTATTTTGTACATAAATTAAGGTATTAACAATCATCCTACATCCAGAAAGAGTGCCACGATGTGTTATGTAATTACTGGATATTCAGATAAAACTCATGAGGGTCCTTCTGTAAAGCTCAAACTTAAACGCCTTTATTTTGCGGCATTGAAAATAAAATACACTAAAAGGTAAACACATTTTATTTTAAGATAAGAAGATAAGAAGTACTTTATTGATCCCAACTTGGGAGATTGTTGTGTTGCAGCAGCTTACAAAGACATGGCATTGCACATGTAATTAAAAGACTAGAAATAAACAAGAAAGTGGAAAATATACATATTTGTGTGTCTTTCAGCACGATGAGGGCTCAAACTGCGGTAACCTGGGCTCCAGCGGCGGTAAAGGCCGGTTCCTGATGTTCCCTCACGCTACAGACGAGGTGCGTGAAAACAACGAGAAGTTCTCGCCCTGCAGCGTCAAACACATCGCCAAGGTCCTGAAGCTGAAGAAGGACGACTGCTTCGTGGGTGAGGATGGGAGAAAAGACATCAGACGGTGTCCACCTGCATGTTGCATGCTGAGTGGGAGGCCAAATATTTACACCGTGCCTCACTCACTGTAAATAATTACAACTAGTGCGTGTGTGTTTACTTGTGTGTGTTTACTTGTGTGTGTTTACTTGTGTGTGTTTACTTGTGTGTGTTTACTTGTGTGTGTTTATCTGCACGTGTGTTCTTCATGGCCAGTCAGTGATCAGCCCATCTGTGGGAACCAGATTGTGGAGGAAGGCGAGGAGTGTGATGTCGGTCACAGCGACACAGACCTCTGCTGCTTCAGTGCCAAACAGCCTGCGGGGGTGCAGTGCCGTCTGAAGAAGGGGAGGGTCTGCAGGTACAGCTGAGTGTGCTCCAAGAAGGGGGATTTAGACATTTATTAGTACAATTTGTATTAGTTTAGGTGTAGGCAGTGGTAGACAAAGTATTTCAGTTTCATATCAGTATGTAGTGTCTCTACTTTAAAGAGTCCTCTCCTGCTGATGTTCAGGTGTATATCAGTATGTTGTGTCTCTACTGTGACATGTCTCCATGCTTTAATGTTCAAAAAGCTCTTTACTTTTCTCATACTGCCTGTGCTCTGATTGGTTAGCTGGCCGGCTCTGTTGTGAATGATCAACCACTTAGAGACGTCCCGCCCCTTAGCCTATCACGTACAATGTGTTGGAGCGCTAGCCAATAGAAGAGTGAGTGTTATATAGCGATGTCATTATGTTACGGAGGTGAACAAAGGAGTCCAATGGAGGCGTTTCAGCTCTGATTATACTCCCGTACTTGGTTACTGTCTGACACTGGGTGTATCACACGAGGATAGGGTGCATGTAGACTTGTTCTAACACTTACGGCCCGTCCACACAGCAGCTTTGAAAAAATCTTGAAAATCTTGGAGGTGGGCGTGTCTGAAAGCTTGGGGAATTTTTGCAAGCAACGCGACCAACAACCAATCACATGAATCTCCCGCCCCCGACATACAAAGCAAAAAACCCCGGGGATTTATGCGAGCAATATATATATATATAAACTCCCCAAACAGGCGAAAACCTACCAGTTTCACCCACTGTCTCTGCCACCTCCCTCCATGCCTGGTTCCTCCGGTTTGTATCCCGGTAAATAGTCTGGTCGTAAAGAACCGGGTGATTTGCTACCGTAATTTCTCGTTTGGAATATGAGGAAATGAACTGCGGTATGTCTCTCACAGCTTACACGCGGTTTGATTGGCTAGCGCTTGTACTGTCAGATTTGCATAAACGGGATTTGATTGGCTGACGCTTCCACCTCAGCTTCAAAAGTTGAACATTGCTCAACTTTTGAATCCTGAAAATCCTGGAAATCCTGGAAATCTTCACTTTGCTTCCCCACAATGCAGTTCGGCGAAAAGCGAGGCAAAGTTTTAAAGCCGCTGTGTGGACGGGCCGTTACAGTATATTGACGTAGGTTGTAGTTTGTTTATTTCTCACTTACATCACTTTTAATCAAAGTGGCACACCACACTCACCTAAACTTTCTGTTGATGTTGAGTCTTGTAGTTGTTTTGCTTTTATGTGGCTTCATCTCCCCCCAGGACTTATTGTGTGTGATAAGATGAGACAAGATAGTACTTTATTCATTCCAATTTGGGACATTGTTGTGCTTCCAGCCCGAGTCAGGGCCTGTGCTGCGGTCAGGACTGTGAGCTGAGGCCTGAGGGTCAGACCTGTGACGAGGAGACGGACTGTCAGAAAGACGCTCTGTGTTCGGGTCTCTCCCCGTTCTGCTCCGAGCCCAGCAGCAAGGAGAACCTCACCGTGTGCAGCGAGGGCACCAGAGTGTGTGTGAACGGGGTGGGTGAGGCATGGACACACACCACATCTAAATAGCTTCAACTACATTGCCTAATCAGCTTATGTTTTATGTATTCATTTATTTAACAGGGACAGTGCACATTAATGAATGAGTTAGCCAAGAGGCTTTTTTTCATCTGTAGTCCTGGACAGATAAGTCAACCTAAAGACACATTTCATGATAAACAATTAAATACAATTAAATAAAAACATGCAACATACATTACTGGATTACTAGCTTAAGTGTGCAAGTGCTAGTCCTAAAAATAAATCAGTATCTAAGCTAGTTTTATTTTTTGACACTGCAAACAATCTCAGTATCGGGTCCATTAAGTTGCTTTTATGTAGTTTTAATATCTGGGATGTTTTTAAATGTCCATTTTGTAGCATTAAGACCATAGACTGTATATATAAAGATTAAGACACAATAACGAAAAGACAAAAACTGAAAGAGGACATATTATGGTCATTTTAGGTTCATAATAGAATGTTGGGCTTGTACTAGAACAGGTAAACATGCTGTAATGTTAACAAATGTTTTTCTCACACTGTCTATCTCAATATACCTCTGTCTGCAGGGCTCCATTTTTGCGCCTGTCTCTTAAATCACCCAAGCGAAGATCTGATAAGCTTTAAAAGGTAGATTTCAAAACCTGTATAGAGACATATTATATATATTCTCATGTGACATATAAAGGTTGGTAGACACTCCAGCTACTAACAATTATGATAAGCCACAATTAAAGTAAAACATATTTCAGATTTTGTAATAAACCACATTTCAATTTGTGTATAACTAACTTCATTTTCATAAAACAACTGTGTCAGAAATCAATGGAAAAGATGGCTGCCGGGAACAGTAGTAGTAAATTCCAAGTTTAATCGCCTGCATGTCGTGTTAAGTATGATTTGTAATGCAAGAGCAACTTTAACAGCAGCTGTAACAGTTCACACCTCAGAACCAATCACTGATCCTGTGTGTAGTCAGAGGTGGACATTACATTTTCAACAAAAAGGCAATAAAACACCCCATTTAGGTTCATATAAAGTCACTTTTAGTGACGACTACGAGCCTACTCTTGGCTTATTATGGTAATCTTTGCTTCAAAAATATCTATTGCATAAAGAAGTTCCAGACTCTTGTTTATCTGGTATTGTTATTCCGCTAAACTGAAGTGTTTATTGTTCATAAATCAAATAACATGACGTCGTAAATCCTCCTGATTCATCCAGATGTTTCTCCGTCTAATCCGTGTGCTCAGAATCCCAATTATTTGTGAACATTACAGCACAGCGTTACTAAGAAAATATCTGGTCTAATCGATGAGACCTCTGGAGAACAGTTTGTGACTTAACCATATTTTCGTAATTGTTAAACACCCTGTGATGAAACACTGTTCAGTGCAGGAGAGGAGAGGGATTTATCCCAGATGTGGATGTTGTTCTGAAAGTATCACTCTCCCAAGGTGTAGGACATATCTGGGAACATGTTGAAAAACTGTAATAATGGAAGGAAAAGGATCCAAAATTGTTCAAGTTAATAAATTATTTCAAATGACTCCGATTCAGCTGAACGCTCAAATCCTTCCTAGAAAACAGGACATCTGATCCCTTACAAATAAACAAGAGTTACATTTGTGGTCACTTCTTCAAAACCCCTCAGACAACATGTATGTTTTCAGGCTTTGAAGACAAATGAAATGTTTAAAGCCACATGGGTTTAAAATGACTCGCATTAAAAAAAGTGTCTAGAATGTGTCCCAAAGTCTAAACACACATTTAACCTCAGGAAACATATTTCATGTTCATTTCAAATAAATACAGGATTTTCTACAACAACAAAATGTCCATGAATGGGGTTTTGTTGCATATATTGTCATTATGTGAAGGAAGAAAAAACAAAAGTGTGGGATTTTAGCCTTTGCAAACCAACACACTTGTCACAAACGAGCTGAGGACCAAAATGCAGAACACGGGAAACCAGGGATAGTCGGTAACCAGCTTTATTGAAGGCAATAGGCTGGTAGGAGACAAAACGGCTGATAGTAGGCAAAGGGCTGGTCGGGGACAGGCGAGGGTTCCAGGAGAAAGCAGGACGGGAGTCGCAGGTACAGAACGGGTCAGGGAGCAGGCGAGGCAGGCTGGTCAGGGACAGGCAGGGTCGAAACCGGAAGAGCAATCTGGAGGGTAATGCGGGAAAGACTGGCATGCTGCAAAGTACGATCTGGCACTGAGGTGAAAGTGAAGTGGGCCTAAATACTAATGGAGCTGATGGGTGTAACAGAGTGAGAGAGAGAGACAGGGTGTGACTACCAGGTGACTAAGGAATGTTAATGCAGAAAATAGGTGAGTGAGAAAGCAGACTGTGACAACACTACAGGGAAGGGAAACCCCAAAAAGCAGAATGGGGCCTCTTTAAAAGCCGGGTAGTGAAAGGTTATTGTTAGGCAATCATAACTGTTGTTGCCCTGATCCACTTTAGTAATCCTATTTTGTAATATTCCCTCCAGCTTGGTTTCAGAATGCACCATCAATCAGAAAAGTTCATTTAAAAAAAAGCCCCAAATGGCCTGAAAACCAGAGTTTCTATCTGAATCTGCTTTAATCAGGTGAACATCAAGTAAAGGACGGATCATAATGCCCGTGTGTGTTCAATTCTCTACCTCTCTTAAGCCCTGATGAGGTGTTGTCACTCACTGATTGGCCCAAATGCACCAGGTATCAAAGAATAAGGGACCACCACACATTTGTATATGTTCCATGTATTTGATCCACTATTCAAGGTATCAATTGGTTTTCATTCATTACAAAGAAACAGTTAGGCTCTTTCCCTTGTTGTTTAGTTTACCAGAGAGAATATCATATCTGCACTGAAATGTGACTTTATTATAATAATGTGGTTACCTGGCTCTCTGCATCACAAGACATTTCAAGAGCCTGATATTAGATTGGTGTATCATCTAGAGTAGGTGTGTCCAAACTACGGCCCGGGGGCCAAATGCGGCCCTCAGCAAATTCAAAAGTATAATGGAATAGGGCCCACAAATGGAACTTGTGCTTGTCTTATATTGTACTTCTTAAATATAAATGTACAAATAAATTCTTCAGTAGTATTCATGTGTTAATGAGACCACTTTTCAAATAAATGCAGTCAATTAAAGTTGGAAACATGTTCGAACATATCTTAGTTGATAAGAAAAAAGCCTGATGACTTATTTCCATAACAAGCTTGAAATACACCCTTCATATTTCTCCTGATTATAATCAATCTGAGGCTTCTGTTTTAATGGATGAGCTGCCAGCACTTACAAGCATCACTTACCTACATTTGATTGATTTAGCTTATAACTGAACTTATGATGCGATATACCTCTATATCACATGTGTCAAACTCAAGGCCCGGGGGCAAAATCAGGCCCTTGGTGGATTTAATTTCGGCCCGCAGGATAATTTCTCATTTCTGTTAGATCTGGGCCGCCGGTATATTGCACGCACACCTTCACTCCATCCTGAGGGTCTCCTCAGCTCAGAGTCTGAGCCCAAACTTTGATGAACTTGCACCCAAGATGAGATGCCAAGTATCTGAACTAGCATCACAGAGCAGCAACCTGAGTTTAATGGATGCTTCCTTCTGCACTTTCTCTCTCAGGACAACAGGGCATGTTTGGTTTTCTCTTTGAGGGAATAGTTTTGTTGAAGCTGTTGTTGGTCTGTGGGAAAATCTAATCATAAGAAATGACTCTGGAAAAGCTGCAGATAGAGCCATAAGAAATGAATGCAACTGATTATTTAATGTTTAATGTTGTTTTTATAGGCAATCATTTAAGCTTTGTTAGTCCCAGGTTTAATATGTGCAATAAGTTCATTTCAATACGTTCTGCAATAAACATTGAACCAGTCCGGCCCTCCACTAGTACCCATTTTATTATTTTGGCCCACTGTGTATTTGAGTTTGACCCCCCTGCTCTAGTGAGTGGCCTAGCCCTTCGTACATTTTTCTGTATGTGGCCCTCTGGAAAAAAGTTTAGACACCCTTGATCTAGACAAAAAACAAAGCACTTTAACTTTATAAGCTATCTTCATGATTGTTATAAAGGTTTTAATCTGGTTAAACATAATTTCCTCCGCTTTATGGACAGCCAGGGATGTTGAAAGTGTTTTTCTTAATGATCTGCTCCTCTCTGCAGGTCTGTGCCGAGTCAGTGTGTGTGAAGCACCGCCTTCAGCAGTGCGACTGTCCGGGAGACTCCATGAAGGAGAAATGCCACATGTGCTGCCAGCAGCCCGGTAACTACTGCCTGTCCTCCACTGAGGAATGTGTTTACCCTTTGTGTCCCAACACGTCAGCCTGTGTCAGTCTGTACTGAGGTCACACGGCTGTTTTCCATTAGATGACCTCAAAACTATCACAAGAGACAACATCTGACACGATGGTTTGGGTACAGCGTGTGAGATGTTTGTTAAAGGTCACCTATTGTGCAAAATCCACTTCTTCATGTCTCTTCTACATCAACATGTAGATCTGTGGAAAGAGATTCTGAAAGTTTCAGGAACAAAAGATCTGCTCTCTTTTTGTCCTGATCCATTTCTATAAAAACCTGTCTGAAAATGAGCTGATCAGATTTTGGCCACTTTATGATGTCATAACGATGTGTTGTCTTGTGTAACCATTAGCCAATCACCAACCAAGGTAACACATATTATAGGTATCAGATATAACCAAAACCTGTCTGAAGTGTTTGGCTCCAAACACTTCAGATCATTGCAGCATTACCCATAATCCCCTCTGTTTCAGCCCTGTTTCCAAAGTGCTGATTCTCTATCTGTTACTTTAGATGAAAATAAGGAGCCCCTCCCCACGCCCCTCTGAGAGAGATTTGGTTACAAAGAACTCAAAGGTGCTCTAGGAGGAGATTCAGGGGATAAGGGGGGGGGGGGGGGTTTACCTTGGTTGCTGATTGGCTAATGGTTACACAAGACAAAACATCGTTATGACATCATAAAGTGGCCAAAATGTGATCAGCTCATTTTCAGACAGGTTTTTATATAAATGGATCAAAAAGAGAGAGAATCTTTGTTCCTGAAACTTTCAGAGTCTCTTTCCACAGAGGGGACACATGTTGATGTAGAAGAGACATGAAGAAGAGGGGACACATGTTGATGTAGAAGAGACATGAAGAAGAGGGGAACACCATGTTGATGTAGAAGAGACATGAAGAAGAGGGGACACATGTTGATGTAGAAGAGACATGGAGAAGAGGGGACACATGTTGATGTAGAAGAGACATGAAGAAGAGGGGACACATGTTGATGTAGAAGAGACATGAAGAAGAGGGGACACATGTTGATGTAGAAGAGACATGAAGAAGAGGGGACACATGTTGATGTAGAAGAGACATGAAGAAGAGGGGACACATGTTGATGTAGAAGAGACATGAAGAAGAGGGGACACATGTTGATGTAGAAGAGACATGAAGAAGAGGGGACACATGTTGATGTAGAAGAGACATGAAGAAGAGGGGACACATGTTGATGTAAGAAGAGACATGAAGAAGAGGGGACACATGTTGATGTAGAAGAGACATGAAGAAGAGGGGACACATGTTGATGTAGAAGAGACATGAAGAAGAGGGGACACATGTTGATGTAGAAGAGACATGAAGAAGAGGGGACACATGTTGATGTAGAAGAGACATGAAGAAGAGGGGACACATGTTGATGTAGAAGAGACATGAAGAAGAGGGGACACATGTTGATGTAGAAGAGACATGAAGAAGAGGGGACACATGTTGATGTAGAAGAGACATGAAGAAGAGGGGACACATGTTGATGTAGAAGAGACATGAAGAAGAGGGGACACATGTTGATGTAGAAGAGACATGGAAAGAGGGGACACATGGTTGATGTAGAAGAGACATGGAGAAGAGGGACACATGTTGATGTAGAAGAGACATGAAGAAGAGGGGACACATGTTGATGTAGAAGAGACATGAAGAAGAGGGGACAACATGTTGATGTGAAAGAAGACAGAAGAAGAGGGGACACATGTTGATGAAGAGAGACATGAAGAAGAGGGGGACACATGTTGATGTAGAAGAGACATGAAGAAGAGGGGACAATGGTGATGTAGAAGAGACATGAAGAAGAGGGGACACATGTTGATGTAGAAGAGACATGAAGAAGAGGGGACACATGTTGATGTAGAAGAGACATGAAGAAGAGGGGACACATGTTGATGTAGAAGGACATGGAGAAGAGGGGACACATGGTGATGTAGAAGAGACATGAAGAAGAGGGGACACATGTTGATGTAGAAGAGACATGAAGAAGAGGGGACACATGTGGATGTAGAAGAGACATGAAGAAGAGGGGACACATGTTGATGTAGAAGAGACATGAAGAAGAGGGGACACTGTTGGATGTAGAAGAGACATGGAGAAGAGGGGACACATGGTGATGTAGAAGAGACATGAAGAAGAGGGGACACATTTTGATGTAGAAGAGACATGAAGAAGAGGGGACACATGTTGATGGTAGAAGAGACATGAAGATAGGAGGGACACATGTTGATGTAGAAGAGACATGAAGAAGAGGGAACACATGTGATGTCGAAGAGACATGAAGAAGAGTGGACACATGTTGATGTAGAAGAGACTGAAGATAGGGAGGGGACACATGTTGATGTAGAAGAGACATGAAGAAGAGGGGACACATGTTGATGTAGAAGAGACGAGAAGAGGGGGATACATGTTGGATGTAGAAGAGACATGAAGAAGAGGGGACACATGTTGATGTAGAAGAGACATGGAGAAGAGGGGACACATGTTGATGTAGAAGAGACATGAAGAAGAGGGGACACATGTTGATGTAGAAGAGACATGGAGAAGAGGGGACACATGTTGATGTAGAAGAGACATGAAGAAGAGGGGACACATGTTGATGTAGAAGAGACATGAAGAAGAGGGGACACATGTTGATGTAGAAGAGACATGGAGAAGAGGGGATACATGTTGATGTAGAAGAGACATGAAGAAGAGGGGACACATGTTGATGTAGAAGAGACATGGAGAAGAGGGGACACATGTTGATGTAGAAGAGACATGAAGAAGAGGGGACACATGTTGATGTAGAAGAGACATGGAGAAGAGGGGACACATGTTGATATAGAAGAGACATGAACAAGTGGATTTTGCATAATAGGTGACCTTTAAGTGTAAATCTAATGGTATTCTCTCCGTGGCAGATAAGCCTGAGACGTGTGCGAGCACCACCTCCTCCGTGCTGTCCCATCTCTTCCAGAAAAAGGCGCTGGCGTTGGTGGGAGGGGCTCCGTGCTCCGAGAGTCGAGGATACTGCGACAAATTCCACTTTTGTCGCCTTCTGGATGCAGATGGACCAATCGCACGACTCAAAAACTCCTTCCTCAATTTAGATGACTTCGATGACATAGCAGAGTGGATGAAGGTGACGTTTTTATGTAAAGTTAATATAATTCTGTTATGCAAAGGAAAGGCAAGTTTATTTATATAGCACCTTTCAACACAAGGCAATTCAAAGTGCTTTACAAAAATGCTGGGAGTCCCAGCAGCTTCTACTAAAGCCAGTCCCCAACTCCGGGGACTTCCGGCCGGGGACTTTGGGCGGCAGTGAAGTTGTTTGCGGCCTGCCAGTAAATCCAAAGCAGAAGAAGAAGAAGTGACGTCAGCGGTTTCATTTGCCTAATCCTCCCCCAGGGACTTATTCCCGTGTGAACGCGATCTGTACTGAGTTCATGAGAACTAAAGAGTTCTGATGAACCTTTGTGGGAAAAGTACTGCGGTGTGAAAGCGCCTAATGTGTTATTTTTAACCAAATCTAACAGACAGAGAATCAGCACTTTTGTAACAGGGTTGAAAGTTGAACAGAGGGGATTATGGGATGATCTGTTTGGTTTTTGGAGCCAAACACTTCCGAAACATGTTTTGTATATATCTGAGACCTTTAATGATGAAAAACAGTATAATATGGGACCTTTAATTGGTTTCTGGTCATCTACGGCCACGTTTCCACATCAATTATGTACTTTGTTAAGACGCAGCAGATGTTTGTTGAGGTCAGATCTGCTCAGAGTTTCTTAAACTGCCGTCGATGTTTCAGTCGTAGAGCTGCCTTTGAGGTTTAGTTCCTCATGACAGCATGGAGAATCAGGAATGCCCATTTGGGTTAAAGAGCGCCTCAAAGATCATTTTTCCGTTTCAGTGGAGACACAAATTACCCCTCACTTCAGGAACCTTTGGGTTGTTTTACCACCGGCAGCACGGCATGCTGCTGACTCACCTTCTGATATACAGAGCTGCAAAGTAAAGCAACCAATCAGGGAGGGTTTATTTCAAAATATGTGATGAGTTTTTGATACAGCAAAGTTCAATGTAAAAAGTGTGCTTTACATGGGAAATAAATGGAAAACGTATATTTTATATGAGTTTTGAAAAGCAGTATATCGGTTCATAAAAGGTAGGTTCATCAAATTGATACGAATAATTGTATTGTAAAGTTGTTGCAATTTCATTTTCATTTTGCTGCTTATTATTTACCAGTTTTACATGTGGGTCAACTTTACAAGGTTAATAGAAATGACTGTATTCAAATACAGCCTCAATGATTCGTCAATTGATCAATAAATCAATTAACTTCTGCAACGATTTAGAGATTGGTTCATTCAGGGATTAATAGAGGTCCATTTTATCTTATGTCAATTTAAACAGTGTGTTGTATTTCCTGTTGGTGAGAAAGTCAACTTCGAGATAAGGAAGGAGGCTGATATTTTAAGTCCATTGCTAAACATGTCTATGACTAGCTGACAAATGCCTGAAAACAGTCAGCAGTAATCAGTGGCGGCGCCAGAGTATTTGTGTTGAGTAATCTGTGGTAGGGCTAACCCATACAGTGGTGGGGCTCAAGTCAGTATTTGCAATGTAATTACATACACGCTATATCGCCCACCTTGACAGTGAAACGCCACGCGTGAGGTTTAGATTATTTCCCTGTCACAATCCAAATGGAACTGTATGAAATAAAACGGCACATTTGTCTTGTAGTAAATAAAAAGGGATCACTGTGAACGTATGATAGTACACGTTGAAGATCCAATGGGGATACTGAACGGCTGTTTCGATTGATCTCAATCAGTAAGGCATGACGCAGACCCAACGTTTCGTTGCTCTAGTTGGCTGTAGGTCTATTCAAATTGCATTCGGAGGCATTTTGATCTGACCGCGGCCGCGCTGATATTATAACGCCAGAGAATTTCCACACCTTTAGTGTATAAAACTCCCCCACTACTTAGACTATTCCTTGCACCCCTCTTCTAGCATGACCCCGAATGGTCTCAACCATATTGCATCAGTAACGTGCACTTGTTGCTACAGCAGGATCAGTTTGTGTGTTGTGGACACGACCCGTATATTTTCGCAAGCCGTGTTCTCAACATTTAGCATTTTGCTTATTATTTAATTTAATTTGCTTACTTTAACATCATTTTTCATGGTGGGGCTAAGCCATTTCTTGGTATGGCTGTAGCCTACCCCAGCCATACGCTGGCGCCGCCACTGGCAGTAATCCAAACTCAAATGCAGTATTTGTATCTTCCTCTGCAGGCTCAATGGTGGGCCATCCTGCTGGGGATCCTCTGTCTGTCCGCAGTGATGGGCTGCACCGTCTGCCTCTGCGGCCGCAAGCTGAACACCAGGGACCACCTGGAGTGACCTCTGACCTTTGACCCTCTGGGAACATGAATATGTATCTTCATGCACAAATTCATCATGCTCAATCATCTGGGGATTCTGAAGTGTCTCGGTCACATGGAAAGACTTTGCTCCAGTAGCAGGGAGTGATCTGCAGGCGACAGAGTGAACACCTGCTGATCACCCCTCATGCAGTTTTGTTAACTGATACCTTTGTACGTCATTAGGTGTCTGCCATTCACTTTTCCATCTGTCACTTGGCTGTTCACATACCCACAAGTCACTGATGGATGTGTCTTGGAAAATGTCTCTGTTACTGTGGGTCTGTCTGCCCCCTTTTTCAGCCACATGGCATCTAACAGCCACATGGCATCTAACAGCCACATGCATCTTAAAGCCACAGCAGTTTAAATCCACATGTCCCTCATAGACTGACGGGACTGCAGCGTCCTTGCTCTTGTATTTGTTGTGCTAATTTCAGTTTTCCATTACAGTGATACCTTTAGCCTGAATGCTTTCATTTGCATTGCATGTTTACACAGCTAATAAAACAACATGTTTGCCATCCCAAAGCTGTTATTATCCTTTTATGATTCACAGTGATGATAAGGGACTTATTTATTGTACTTTAATACAGTTTGAATGTACTTTCACTTAATTCGAATATTAATAATTAATATCATTTTAAGCAGCTTAAACTTCTACTAAATATTGGTTCAAAGGAGACATGTGGTACTTTTGTTTTGCATGGCTATAAATTACTTTTTTTGTCACTATGTGATGTCTAACCAATCAGAGCAGACTGGGCTCTGGTTTCAGACAGAGGGTGAAAAGAGGTGCTGCAGCTCAGACAGTATGAGAAAAATAAAGAGCTTTTTGAACATTAAAGCATGGAGACATGTCACAGTAGAGACACTACATACAAATATGAACCTGAAAATGAGCAGAGTATCTATTTACCTTGGAAAGACACTGTTGCGTGTTATGGTCTTGAACATGACTTAATTTTCTCTGGACTCCGTCTTGATCAATTGGACCTGGTTTTGAACTTGACTTGGACTAGGGTCTTGACCACAGCTTGGAAAATTGGTTTCAGAACTTTTTTTCACATTTCCTCGAAAACTAACTGTAAAATAGTTAAAACGTCTAAAGACATCAGGGTACATTTAACTGATGATACTCGTGTACTTTTACTAAGTTAAGATTTAAATTAGATCTTATTTACAGGTACTTCTTCCAACACTGATGATTTACTTCTCGTGACTGAAAAGCACATTTTAATGATGAATCAAAAGCTGGCTTCACGGTTTTTTCTCTCCGTTATAATCTCTTGGGTCGTCCAAACACAACACACACACAATTTAACAATTGCCAGCACTTTTGCATCAGAAACGGATACCTTTCAATTGTTTGAAACAAATTGGAAAACACTGTTTGGTACTGATAACAAATAGGAAAATGAATAAAACAAACTTGAGATGGTGAGCTGAGTGATAAAGAGTAGGAAGAGGATTACAAAAAAGGTTTATTATCATTTTCCGTTGATATAAATAACAGTCAGTGACCTCTTAGATTGCAGTTTTGGTTTATTAAAGAGTTTATATAGTACAGTGTATATTCATAATTATGCATAAACATTTTAGAAATGCACATTTTACATATGAGATGTATCCAGTGATACAAATATACAAATGAAGCTCAGCGTAAGTTCAACCAGGAAGACCGTCTTTACTCTTCATTTACTATTCCCATGTAACTACTCTCTCTCCTCTCAATAAGTGAGTGGGGGGCGTCACTCTCCAGCTTAACCAATCACTTCGCTCTATTCCCAAGAGCCTATCATAGCGCTCTGCCAAACCTTTTAAGTCTGCTCTCCCCTCTCGGACAGCTGTAATTTCAGGTGACTCGACGCAACCCTTTTCACCTCCCGTCCCTCTGAATCCAGGGTCAAGCTAAGCCCCTCCCCTTCAGACCGACCCCAACTATCCATTCACCACCACCAGTGTCTTCTACCCCGGGGGGATTTCATCGGATCGGTTCTCCCCTCACGAATGACCCTTCCTGCACAACGGGGCCTAATCTCCAAAATCACCATTACATTAATTTGTGTATCTCTGCAATAAATATGTATTCTTACATCAAAACCGTCTCTCCTGATTGAACTACCAGTGTTTCATACTTTAAACATCTATCGGTATTATGGTATTTACATAACTGTACAATAATCTTCCTCTGTTTTCAGTGCAAAAGAAAAACATTTCCATATTTGTAAAGAAGGTGGAAATAAAGTCACAATGATAACAGTACCGATCTCAAAGAGCCAAGCTTTAGATATCGCTCACTAACAGGAAACGTTCAAATGAAAAGAGCTTTAGTGAAGATTGTAAAAACTCACATGCACAGAAGAAACTGCAGTCAAACGAAATACAACAAAATAACACTATTGATATTAAATGTGCTTTCTAACTCCCACTGAGCCCAAAACAACTTTAGTATAACAAAAGGTCAGGTGCTTCTTTGTAGGTAACACCTTCGAAGTAACGTCTTGCAGAGGTGAAGCTGTGACAAAAGTGTTTAAAACAACTTTTGAATGTTGAGATAAATCAGTAAAAGGTCATAGAATCACAACAATAAAGCACACTGAGGTGAAAATCAGTAACTAAGTGAAGACAACATCTTGAGACAGTTTACAGTAAGGCACACTGTTACAGTCACATCCAGCGCTGTGAGCCACAGTGGTGAATGCTCTGTGAGACACAGAATACATGAAGGTACATCAACTCGCATAAAACACCTTGAGAAATTCATCCTAAAGCTGCATTCACATGATACATGGAGAAATGTGTTTCTATAGACAGAGCAGCACTGAATTTGTCATACCAAAAGTTAGAACTATTTCAAATTTGACCTCGTTTACCACTGACTTCTCAATGCGCAACCAATCAGATAATATGTAGCGGCAGAGGTGGGAAGCAGTGGAGTACAAATACTTTGTTACTGTACTTAAGTACATTTCTCTGATATCAGTACTTCACTTATCTTTCTGACGACTTTTTACTTTTACTTCTTCCATTTTTAACACAAATACCTGTACTTTCTACTTCTTCCATGTTGAACTCAAATACCTGTACTTTCTACTTCTTCCATGTTGAACTCAAATACCTGTACTTTCTACTTCTCTCATTTTCCAAACAGGCTGGTTCCTTTAGTTTGAATGTGTGTTTGGTGGCGTGATCAGTATTATTTGTATCCATCATTTCCTGGTCTTCTCTAAAGAAGAGGGACCAATGAAAACGTTGTCATGTTGCCGTTGTTCAGCATGGAAACATTCATTAGCTAACAATGACATTATTGTTCTATTAAAGTGGACCTATCATGCTATATTTGAAACATATATTGTAGGGCCATACCTATACAAAACATGTCTGTGAAGTTTTTTTTTCAAAATACCAAACAGATCCCCCATTGTAGCCATGCCTCATACTGCTCTTACCCCTCTTTTGCAGCCCTGTTAGAGAAACGCAGATTTTGGCTCCTTAGCTTGAAAATAAAGAAGAGGAGGCGGAGCTAATGCCTGATCAGAATTCTACCGGAGATTAAGTTAAATTCTGCTGTGATAAAACGCCATCCTGTTTAAACCACGTCAAGGATTATTTCTGAAACAGACTTGAGAGCTCAAATGCTTTTTCTCTTGCGGGTTTATCACAAGGTGAGTTCTTTTTTTATTTCCTGCTTTTTAAACTGTGTTCTCCAGTACAGGTTAGCTCTGAGTGTTAGCGAGGCTTGCTAATGTAAACAAAGATGTCCAAAACACGTCAGGCATTGTTGCTGATAGCAACTTTCTGTGGGTCCGCTGCCGATTTGACGTCGGATCGGATGGAATCTGTATCCGCTCGTTGTACAACCGTTTTTAAAAGATTTGGGTACGGAGGAAAAGAGAGAGGGTTTTATTTTGTGACGCTGCGTGAGTTCCCCGACGCACCGGGGACACATATTTATGTATAAAAGACATCACAAAGTGCATTTTGCATGATAGGTCCCCTTTAATATAAAGGGAGGTCAGGTACTCTTTAAAACAGATATGGGTACTTTTCACTTCAGTACATTTCGAAGCCTCTTTACTTTGACTTGAGTAAAGAAGTTTAGTCAGAACTTCTACTTTTACCAGAGTATTTTTAAACACGAGTATCTGTACTTGATGTGTGTACTTTTGCCATCTCTGTGTAGCGGTACAAGATAGCAAGAGAGTTAACGATATAAATTAAACATCACTAGCTGTTTTTACTGTTAGGTAAACCTCAGAGCAAAGAGCGAATCATGTGAATGCAGCTTAATGGATATGTTCCCATCTGTTGGAGAAGAGTCTGCAGAGAGGAGATTATAATCGTGATATTTAACTCATGGTATTTTACACATCAGTACCTCCAGAAATATTACAGCAAATCCTTCAGTCACATCTCTCCGTATACGAGAATCTCTTTGAACCAAAGACAAAGGCGTTTACTTTTTATAAAGTAAGTTACAGTTAAGTGTCATAAAAATAGCTCTATACAAAATATTTTTACAGTATTCACACACATATGATTTTTAAATAACAAACGAGCTTTGTACCATTTGAGAATAAAAATAAGTTATATGTGTATAAATTATAAGTGCTTGTTCTGTGGATTCTGCGAAGACGTCAGTGTTTCTCCAGAGTTATTCTACGGACAAAGACAAGAGTACTGTTATTTAAAAGCATGAATGAAAAGGTTATATTAGTTGAGGTAACTGCAGTGTTATTTACCTTTTTGGAGCTCTCTTCGGGTTCGTTCTCCATGCATCCTTACATTTAACAAACGTGACCTCTTGTGTTAATTTCGGAGCTCCAGGGTCTTTTACACAGAACACCAACCTGAAAAATACAGTGTGTATGAGCGCTTCATCCACTGAAATAATCCACTTTATTAATGGTAAGATAGGTGTTAAAATTTGGAATTTTGTACAATTTACACTATCAAAAAATATACATTACATTTACCCGATACAGTTTAAGAAAATGTTTTAATTCATAAAATGTTTTTAAATCTAACAGGTTTTGAGTCAAAGCGCTTCACAGCAGGGATGGTTCTAGGGGGGGCCAGGGGGGGCCAGTGCCCCCCTAACACTGACCTCTGACCCCGCTGTGGCCCCCCTAACAATGAAAAGTTTTTTTTTTGTTTTTTTTAAATGTATATTTTCTGGTACTCGGTTTGCCAAAAACCGAAGGATTTTGTTGCTGTAATGTGAGATTGTGCAGACACCCTTATGTAAAGTAGAGATGTAACTGTTCGTTGCCTTTATTTTTATATAAATATGGTGTTAGTGCAAACATTGCACTATAACTTAAGCTGAAGCTAACAGTAATAACTATAAGATCTATCTGAAATAAATAAGTGTACTGAAACAAATACCAATAACTGTATTGCATTGTTTTCTTATGCGCAATTACTTCATACTGTCTAGTTCTCTTTTTCGTCCTGTATTTATTGTGCCCCCTCAGAAAATAACTGGCCCCCCAGTGGCCCCCCCAGTCAAATTGGTCTAGAACCGCCACTGCTTCACAGGGACATAAATATATATGCAAGTACCAAGTTTGAATGATAAAGTGGGAACCTTTTTAGGATTTGTTTGGCTTTTTCCATTGTCATAACAATAAAAAAGAAGTCAATGAAACTGCTTCAAAGAGATATACAGATATGTGCATGTAGAAATAATAATAATACGTTTATTTCGTATAGCACCTTTCACAGAATTCCCAAAGTGCTTCACAAGAAAGAACAAAAGTTAAAATGAAGACCATGAATACAATAACAACATGAGGCAGAAATGTAAGGTCAACATAAAAATAAAACACAGACCACGTGGGGTCCCGAAAGGAACAAACATAAAAACAGAACACATCGCAGTAGAAATAACTGGAATCAGATAAGAGCATGCAGACAGAGGAGCACATCTTACTTTTGCTGTGTCTCTCCGGCCCGGATGCGGATCTTGTGAACATCCATGTTGTCGCTGCCAGAGTCTCCGGACCACCACGAGGAGACCATGTTCAGCACGTTGGAGGCCGACCAGCCGTTCGTCTCCTCCCATTTAAACTTCAACATCAGCAGATCCCCGATATCTTTCTCCGTCACCAGCAGGAACGAATGTGTCGTATTCGTCTCTAATTTCTCCTTCCTGCCAGATAAAAAAACAAAGGGGAAATTATTGTTCTACTCCCAAGAACATTTTATTTAGCTTAGCCTCGTAAACGCTGCAGTATAAACTATTGTGTAACCACAAGTAACACGAGCAAATGTTTCCAAGTCGGCGGTTATATGACTTTTTATAGTTTCTACTGCATGCTGTTTCCTTTGACTACTGTTCAAAACAACAAGTCACCGTTCTGTTCTTTAATTGTGCCGTGTAAAAATTAACAAGAAACTATGTATTTTTAGTGTCCAGTATGTGCCAGGTAAGCTTGTTTAATGTCTGAGTGCTTGTGAATTCAATGGCAAATAACAAAACTTTATGAATATCCAGATAAACAAATATGAAACATTTAAAATGTCTCATGAGCCGACTTCCTGTTGCACTCTTGATTCTCTAACTCCACTTATCCTCTCTATTTACATATTTCCTTTACTTACATTTTAACATCTGTTTAATGTCAGTGATAGCATCTCTTATGCTGTAGTACTAACTGCACTTTAGATGGTATATTAGCATATGCACTTCTGGTTGGATACTAACTGCATTTCATTGGCTAGTACCTGTTCTCTGCACAATGACTACATCTAATCTTCAGAGGCTACACATTACTTTTCAAGAGCAAACACAAGGCTGCTAGAGTTAGTCAAACAAGCATGTGCTATATCTGAGTGCCTTAGAGAAAACTCATGTCATTGAATGCAAAAAGTCACAAGGTTCGACACGCTCTTCATATATCAATTTAGAGTTAATGTGAGAGTGTCATTGTGCACATCACAGGTTTTCACTCACAGTTTCAGCTCCAGGTTTTCCGACTCTCCTCTCGTCCCGAACAGCGAGACGGTGAGCGACGGCTCCAACTCAGAACGATTCACCTTACTGGAGAAGTGGATCTTCACCTGATAGTGGTAAACTGCGGAGAACGAGAGCAGTTTGCAAATCGTAATCATGCATGCTGCTCACATTTAGATCCAGATTTAGCAATAATGAGCTTCATGTCAGCTGACTTTGAACAACTTCTTGATCATCGTAACAACATTCTTTTTAGGAATTAGGGTGGTGGGATCAAACCACTCTGCCTTTTCAGGAAGAAATATGTGTCAGGAAGTGTTTCAAGTGCCTCTTAAACATCAAAGTCTCCATTATTCTCAGTAGTTAGTCATGTTGACGATGCTTATAGGCGCATTCACACCGCAGTACTTTTCCCACAAAGGTTCATGAGAACTTAGTTCATGAGAACTTTTTAGTTCTCATGAACTAAGTACAGATCGCGTTCACACCGGAATAAGTCCCTGGGGAAGGATTAGGCAAATGAAGCCGCTGACGTCACTTCTTCTTCTTCTGCTTTGGGTTTACTGGCAGGCCGCAAACAACTTCACGGCGTATACTGCCGCCCAAAGTCCCCGGCCGGAAGTCCCCGGAGTTGGGGACTGGCTTCAGTAGAAGCTGCTGGGACTCCCAGCAGCTTCTACTGAAGCCTTCCGAGTAAATCGCCAGAACGCCGACACCTCCTCATCTCCACCGCTCCCATGTTTTATTTTGTGTTGCCATAAGTTAGTCTCTCTGCGTTTCTGCGCTGGGCTAATGCTAATGCTAATGCGAGGATAATAAAATGGCGGCTTCACAAAACGTTTTTGGGAGTATTACGGGGCGTGGTTTGCAATCCGCCCAGCCAATCAGACATAGGAACCTTTTTCTCCCACGAAAGTCCCTGCTCTCTAGCAGGGACGGAAAAGGGAGTGAAAAGGTTCTCATGAACTAATTTGAGTTCCGGCTCTTTTTGGTGTGAACGCAACATTTCGGAACTATATCGGAACTAAAGTGGGAAAAGTACTGCGGTGTGAACACGCCTAATGTGTAAAGGCTGACTTGAGTTGTAAAAGTGCTTTCAAAGACTAGAAAAGCTCTTTATAAATGCAGTCCATTTACCATTAGACCTTGTGACCTTGTAGGACAAAATGGTGCAACTTCCCACCAACTGAACTACCCTCAGAGTCAACAAACCCCACTATTGATAGAGTGCACTGACCTCTGAAAGGCATGGAGGCGCGTGTCTTGGTGTACATCTGAACGCTGCGTGCTCTGCGGACCAGGCTGATGTCGTAGCCCACGGCGATGCAGCGGCTCTTTCTGCAGCTGAGACACATGCCGCGGTCGAACATGTCCGTGCTTCCACATCTGTAGGCCTTCGCTGCGTCCTGCTCGTTCAGAAGAGAGTCGATGAAGAGGTGCACCGAGCGCTCGTGTTCACACTTCACTGCATCTGTGATCGCTGGGGAGGGAAGAGGGAAACAAACATAATTAGATAGATAGATAGAGAGATAGATAGATAGATAGATAGATAGATAGATAGATAGATAGATAGATAGATAGATAGATAGATAGATAGATAGATAGATAGATAGATAGATAGATAGATAGATAGATAGATAGATAGATAGATAGATAGATAGATAGATAGATAGATAGATAGATAGATAGATAGATAGATAGATAGATAGATAGATAGAGAGATAGATAGATAGATAGATAGATAGATAGATAGATAGATAGATAGATAGATAGATAGATAGATAGAGAGATAGATAGATAGATAGATAGATAGATAGATAGATAGATAGATAGATAGATAGATAGATAGATAGATAGATGGATAGATAGATAGATAGATAGATAGATAGATAGATAGATAGATAGATAGATAGATAGATAGATAGATAGATAGATAGATAGATAGATAGATAGATAGATAGATAGATAGATAGATAGATAGATAGATAGAAGGATAGATAGATATAAGGATAGATAGATACTTTATTGATGGGAAATGTTTGCGTTGCAGCAGCATGAAAAGACATAAGAGAAATTAAGACACTAGAAATAAACAGTCCAAAATATTTCTGAAATAGAAACAAAATACATGTGGAAATACACATTTACAGTAACAAAATATAATGCCGGATATATACACATTAATTGTGCAAGAAATTGATTATTCAATATTAAATTGAATATAAATGTAAAATGTACAGAGGGAGTTTAAGTCCAGTTATCAAGAGAAGCTCTGGAGCAGGGAGTTCTCTTCCGGCCATTAAGTCAATTTCTTACTTTCCCATTCCTTTACCGGACACGGTTTATGTAACCTTTCTACTTCCTCAAGACTTTATGGTGTATTTGACCTTTTCGTCCGCTGTGTTTGAAGCCCTCTGTTTATTTAAAGGTTGTAAATGAGATCATTGTGCACAAGGAATTTCCATAAGACTAACGACTAGCAGCAAGAAGTGTTATAAAAGCTGCTGGACTATGTCTGTACGTACTAATAATCACATCAATGTGCATTGTTACGTGGCCGTATTGAATGTGTTAAATCCTGTTGAATAAGATATTATCATTTAATTTCCTAATATTGGGAATGCTTTCTGCTGATATCACAATTACTATGTAGTTTAGTGTAGTATGTAGTTCTATTTAAATGCTTATTTAGATATCAGGGAGTTCATAATTCTCAACATTTACAGTAAAGTTAATACTTTTATTTTAAGGGTGAATTGCCAGTCGTTCTCACCGAATAACCCCAGGTTGGCGATCTTCTCCAGGGCCCCTCTGAGGTTGCATCCCGGCTGGAAGCTGCCTCTGTTGGGGTAAATGTCGACGTGTCCGACGGGCTGCTGGATCCCGATGCTGAGACCCAGAGAGCCGCGTGTGAAGGTGTGCAGGACGTCCACGAAGTGAGCGTCGTCCGGGGACAGACGTCTGTGAGCGTGCTCCCCCTCGAAGTCAGGACCAGCGGGATCCAGACCTGCAGACACAGACAGTCACACTTAAAGGTCACCTATTATGCAAAATCCACTTCTTCATGTCTCTTCTACATTAACATGTGTCCCCTCTTCCTCATGTCTCTTCTACATCAACATGTGTCCCCTCTTCTCCATGTCTCTTCTACATCAACATGTGTCCCGTCTTCTTCATGTCTCTTCTACATCAACATGTGTCCCCTCTTCTCCATGTCTCTTCTACATCAACATGTGTCCCCTCTTCTTCATGTCTCTTCTACATCAACATGTGTCCCCTCTTCTCCATGTCTCTTCTACATCAACATGTGTCCCCTCTTCTTCATGTCTCTTCTACATCAGCATGTGTCCCCTCTTCTTCATGTCTCTTCTACATCAACATGTGTCCCCTCTTCTTCATGTCTCTTCTACATCAACATGTGTCCCCTCTTCTTCATGTCTCTTCTACATCAACATGTGTCCCCTCTTCCTCATGTCTCTTCTACATCAACATGTGTCCCCTCTTTTTCATGTCTCTTCTACATCAACATGTGTCCCCTCTTCTTCATGTCTCTTCTACATCAACATGTGTCCCCTCTTCTTCATGTCTCTTCTACATCAACATGTGTCCCCTCTTTTTCATGTCTCTTCTACATCAACATGTGTCCCCTCTTCTTCATGTCTCTTCTACATCAACATGTGTCCCCTCTTCTTCATGTCTCTTCTACATCAACATGTGTCCCCTCTTCTTCATGTCTCTTCTACATCAACATGTGTCCCCTCTTCTTCATGTCTCTTCTACATCAACATGTGTCCCCTCTTCTCCATGTCTCTTCTACATCAACATGTGTCCCCTCTTCTCCATGTCTCTTCTACATCAACATGTGTCCCCTCTTCTTCATGTCTCTTCTACATCAACATGTGTCCCCTCTTCTTCATGTCTCTTCTACATCAACATGTGTCCCCCTCTTCTTCATGTCTCTTCTACATCAACATGTGTCCCCTCTTCTTCATGTCTCTTCTACATCAACATGTGTCCCCTCTTCTTCATGTCTCTTCTACATCAACATGTGTCCCCTCTTCTTCATGTCTCTTCTACATCAACATGTGTCCCCTCTTCTCCATGTCTCTTCTACATCAACATGTGTCCCCTCTTCTCCATGTCTCTTCTACATCAACATGTGTCCCCTCTTCTCCATGTCTCTTCTACATCAACATGTGTCCCCTCTTCTTCGTGTCTCTTCTACATCAACATGTGTCCCCTCTTCTTCATGTCTCTTCTACATCAACATGTGTCCCCTCTTCTTCATGTCTCTTCTACATCAACATGTGTCCCCTCTTCTCCATGTCTCTTCTACATCAACATGTGTCCCCTCTTCTTCATGTCTCTTCTACATCAGCATGTGTCCCCTCTTCTTCATGTCTCTTCTACATCAACATGTGTCCCCTCTTCTTCATGTCTCTTCTACATCAACATGTGTCCCCTCTTCTTCATGTCACTTCTACATCAACATGTGTCCCCTCTTCTTCATGTCTCTTCTACATCAGCATGTGTCCCCTCTTCTTCATGTCTCTTCTACATCAACATGTGTCCCCTCTTCTTCATGTCTCTTCTACATCAACATGTGTCCCCTCTGTGGAAAGAGACTCTGAAAGTTTCAGGAACAAAGATTCTCTCTCTTTTTGATCCATTTCTATAAAAACCTGTCTGAAAACGAGCTGATCAGATTTCGGCCACTTTATGATGTCATAACGATGTGTTGGCTTGTGTAACCATTAGCCAATCACCAACCAAGGTAACCCCCCCCCCCCCCCCCCCTTATCCCCTGCATCTCCTCCTAGAGCACCATTGTGTTCTTTGTAACCAAATCTCTCTCAGAGGGGCGTGGGGAGGGGCTCCTTATTTTCATCTAAAGTAACAGACAGAGAATCAGCACTTTGGAAACAGGGCTGAAACAGAGGGAATTATGGGTAATGCTGCAATGATCTGTTTGGTGTTTCAGCCAATCAGAGACAAGTTTGTATATATCTGAATCTATAATATATTGATGTAAAAACAGTATAATAGGGGACCTTTAACTGAGCTGCAACTATATTAAACTGTGAGATGCTTTATCAATTCATCTGTTGTTTTACCGGTTATTCTTCCGACTTTATTGGTTGCGTGGCTTCCTGCAAATCCTGCAACATGAGCTCCGAGGCTGTAGCCAATCAGGTGGATGTTCTCCAGAGGCATGTTGGTGGTTTCCTATAAAAAAAAGTTAATGAAGACATTATTTAAGAAATCAGCGGGACAAATACTCTCTTATCAAGCTGGTGATTATCAACAAAATCACGACCGGTATTACTGCACAAGTTTCTATACGTCCAGCATTTAGGTTACATTTGAAGTTTGATTGGTCCGTTCTTCAAAATAACCAAAAAACGACTGGCCCAATTGTCATGAAACTATGTGGTAGGATGTAGCATGGGCCATAGAGCAACCCATTTAGTTTTAGCCATAGCGTACAGATACGGAAACACACAAAATGTTTTACTTATAGAAACAGCCTTGGCATCAGAGTACCATACTAGTTTCGTTAAATCTTCTAAGAAATGCATAAAATAAATGTCAAATGTGGGACGCTGTGTTTTCTAGCTAGTTTCGAAGGCCTGCTATTGTATCTCAATAGTATATATTACGATAAATAAGACGAGTTGTCACTAAAGCAGTTACTAAGTGTTTTGGTTTGTTGTTTTGGCAACTCTCTAATGATTGAAATGCTACGAAAATGTCTGTCTCGTTTGCATTTTGATAAAGAGGAAGTGGAAAACTGTCTCCTCCTCTAAATGAAAAGTGATGGGTGTGATATATTTTGGTTAAACTTGCACATTTCTTTAATCCCACTGACCTCGATCCAGTCGATGAAGCGAGCGATCTCGTGTCCGACCTCCTTGGTGTTCTGCGCTGCGACCACATAGTGATTCTGAGCCGAGCCGAGCCAGTCCACCACGATGACGTTAGCCGCCTTCTCCCTGTCGTACAGCGCCGTCACCAGCTTCTCCACCCAGCTCTCAAACATCCCACTCAACTGGAGACAAAGACGGTTCAAACATTAGACTTACACAACTCCAAAATGTCATCACTACTAATAAGTCTGGTATGTATTAAAAGGAAGTTCAGGGAGAATCTTTGTATATATATATATATTGATTGTTGTGCTTTTATTTAGGTTTTAATGTGTGCATAGCCTATGTATAAATGTGTCTTTTGATTGTGTATATAGGTATATACATATTTGCATACACATTTTTATATATATTTGTTTTTGTATTCGGGACTGTGGGAAACAGTATTTCGATCTCTGTCTGTACACACAAACTGAAAGATTGACAATAAAGTTGACTTTGAATCTAATGTATTTCCATATTGTGAAATCAGAGTAAACTATAGTCCACTTTATCTTAAGATTTGTCTAAATCTCAAGTGAATGCATTGATTTTCATGGTCGCTTATATTTCATAACGGTATCAGTACGTTACAAAAAGCCTTCCTCATGTCTAGTACCAAATCTTAAACTTCAAAGTTTTTCCATTCATTTTCTGAGTAGTCAAGTTGAAAGTCATCAGAACAGACTCAAGTTGAAGTCCAGACAACATTGAGTTGAGTCCAAACCTCGTTCTTTGGTATAAACTGGTTGCAGCGTGTCAATAAGTTAAAGTGGACCTGTCATGGTATATTTGAATAATATATTGTAGGGCCAAAATACCAAACAGATCATGCATTTGCTCTTTTTTAGCCCTGTTTTTGCAAGGGCTGAATCTGAGAAGTCTTCTTCGCTGCTTTTGTGGCAGACTACAGCGCCACCTACATGCCTGGCATATGTACTACAGCGTCTCCAGCGCTTTCGAACGGCAATGGCCGTGGCTGTCTCCTCCTGATAGGTGGAGAGTTGCCCATATAGGCGGAGCTCCTCGTTTCTGACGTCAGAGATATTTCAAATCTGTATCAGTCTGTAACAGATCCGTTGCAGCCCCGTTTTTAGAGATTTGGGTATAGAGGAAAAGAGAGAGGGTTGTGTTTTCTGACACTTGGTGAGTTCCCTGACACACCGGGGACATATATTCATGTATAAAAGACGTACAAAAGTGCATTTTGCATGATAGGTCCCCTTTAAGTTATGTTCATTTGGCAGGACTTGAGTCCACTGAAACTTGTAGCAGTAATGACACACTTCAAATAAGAAGGCTGTTTCTTTCTAAACCAAAGGAGAGTTGTGTGAACAAAGTCTTTGGTTGTTTTAAAGACGCGGACATGTCTCAGCAGGCCGAAGCATTTGGCCTCACCGTCCATCCGTGGATCACCAGGAAGGTTTTGGAGGTGCTGTTGAAGCTGCAGGCCGCCAGGGACTCAGGCTTTCCAGGAACGATGTAGCACAGGTCATCATCGGGAACGCTTGGTTTTCGGAGGGAGAATTTAGTCAGGGTTTGATTGCTGTTGTCATTTTGGGAAAACAGGTCCTTCAGAGGGTCGAGGAAGTTACCTGGAAGAGAGGATACATCAACTTCATGAACAAAGAAAAGCAGAGATTCCTGTGTCACGCTGGTATTTTTCAGATGTGTGAATCTAATCGCTGGCTTGGAGGTCTGACACGCCTGACTAGCTAACTGAGTGACTGGCTCCAATAAGCCCCTCGGGCCCCTCGGTAAATGAGCCTCTACCTTAGACCAGATCAGTCCCTGGGGGTTACAGGGGTTCACTTGGCCAGACTGAGCTCCATAGAAACCTGGCAGAGTTTCTCCAGCTTTGTTCCTGCCTCCTCACCGACTATAATCTGCACAGGACGGTCAGCTGACTCGACTCAACTGAGGGCTGCCGTCCAGAGTGGGGGGTTGCAGGGACACAGACATGTATAAGGCTTACATTTGGGAAAGCATTGAAGCCATATTGCAAATGGAAATGCTTTTCATAACTGCATTTAGAAAACTTAATTCATGTTTAGTTTGCTCAGAGTTTCCACCACTTTTCTTCCTCTTGTGCTCTCTAAAAGTGAAAAGCATTACCATGTCTCTAACTAAAGACAGCTAATCGTATTGAGTATTGGATATTCGCCAAAAAGCACTAACAAGAGTTTAGTCATATACACGTGATGAAGATCGTTAATGTCATTCTCAGAGACCTAACGACACTGCTACTGCGCGTAAATTGCCGATAAATATCATACATCGTCTACGGTTTGCTTTCCATCGCGACTATCTGCACCAAACTAGATTTAACCTGCAGTTTGTACCCCCGCTTGTGTCGATGTGAGTGAGAGTGGATGTGCATGAAGTTTAAACTCACCAAAAATAGAATCAGAGCGCTCTTCTTCCAGAGAGGTCACATACTGCACAGCTGCATTCAACACCAGAAAGTACAGAAATCGAACTCTCCACGCTTTCATTTCCTTTCCCAGCTGTTTCCTCTCAGAGTAAAAGTCTCGAACAATGAAATCAATCAGGATGTCACTACAGAAGAGTGTGTGTGCGCGCGTGCGTGCGCGTGTGTGTGTATTCCTGCTCAGAATAATGAAGTACGTCCTGTTGCGCTCGGAGCGCTGAAATCTGAACCACCTTGGACTGTCTGCGTCTTAAATAGATCCTGAAAGGCCATTGGCTGCTCAGGTCCGCGGGCGGGGAATGGAAAATGATGTGTAAAGTAAATCATTAGAATGCTTTATTAGAGTGACGTCACTGGTTGGCAGGTTAACTTCTCATTAAAACCACTAAACTGTGTTAATAATAATAACTTTAAATGTGTATAGCACATTTAATACAAAGATAGATACGCTTTAACAAAAAATAAAATGGTGCCAGTAAAGTTACTCCAAATCAAAACACTGATTAAAAAGGAAACCTGGAATCAATAAATCACTGTATTCACAACTTTGAGACCTCTTGGTTAATATTTAGTCAGTATATAGTCTTTTTTGAGAGGTGGGCTGGAGAAGCAGGTTGTTTCAGGAGAGGAGCCAATGTTGTGCCCTGCAGCAGGAAAACGTACAATATAATATCAGTGTTTACCATCATCATGGCATGGCTGGCATTTACACTGTAATTAATCATTAATTATCAATACAGGCTAATAAAACACTTATGTACTGTAACTGATTCACCACTAGCTCTTGCACTGCACTTTGACAATAGATAGTACGAAGAAAAACCGGATTGAAATCAATGCAACAGAAAACTAGACATTTCCCTATTTTTATTTTCAGCATGTTTACATGTTCATGTCATGTATGTTGTCAAAACATGGTGCCTTCACTATCCACAATGTAACTGGACCACCAACAGGTGTGTGTTATGCTAGCAGCAGCTAATGTAGCCTCTAGCAGAGATGAGGAGTGGGCTGCAGACCTCAGGTGAACTCACCCTTTCCTAACCCAACACCCCCAAAACAGTTTCGAACCAACTAGATCTATTTCTGTCACAAACTTATTTTCTGTTTTATTTTGACATTTAGTTTCTCCTTGTGTTTTACTCCCTGTGTTTTTCCTCCTGTCAAATGTGTTCACCTGTGTTTCAACCCCCCCCCCCCCCCCCCCCCCCCCCCCCCCCCCTAATGTGAGTGGTAGCTCTTGTTTCCCACTACCTGTTGATATTCTTTTATGTGTACCAGTTGTCAAATGTTCCCTTTTTAATAACTCACATAATTTAATAATCTTACACTTTTGAGATTTTTTTTAATTATGTTTTTATCAATTCGATTTTTAACATTGAGTACATCATTTTAAATACAGCTTATTAGGGGTTTTCTGGTGTCCTACTGTATTCAGGCTCCAGTGCTCAGTGGCATCTTGGCCTCTTGGCAGACTCCCTGGTATTACAGCAACATGTGGATGGTGTGTGTTTAATTTTGCAATGAAACTGGCACTCACTCACTGCTAATACACCAAGTTGTACTTCAAAACTCTGACCTTTAACCTATTGTGTGTGCATTTCACTTACTAACTGGGTAAAAATATTGTTACATGCCAGCTGGGGATTATGTGCTCACGCTGGGGCAAGGGTATCTGGCTTCACAGACGCTGGTTTGTTGCCCAAAACACGAGCTCCAGATGCCAGGATAAACTGGGCCGGAGGCCGATGAGGCGATGGTTGAAAAGTTACACGCTTGTATCTGTGAGGGACGATGGAAAAATAAAGTTCACAGGAATGGTAACACGTGTTTTAACGAAACACTGACATTGTGACTAATTATCGGGCAAGAGTGTGATACCAGCACCATAGTTAAAGGGACTCTTAACACATTATTGCAATCTACTATTACTCCCAAAATAGTTTTCTTTGTTGCCCTGTGGATATACATGCAGGTCATTTATGGATTAAAGGGGCCTTATTATGCCATTGGGGTTTTTCCCTTTCCTTCGTAGGTTTTTGTGCATGTGAAAGACCCCCAAAACGCCTCCATTGGACTCCTTTGTTTACTTCCCTAGTGACATCCCTATGTAACGCTCGCTATTGGCTAGTGCTCCAACACATTGTACGTGATAGGTGAGGAAAAATACATGTGGAGGGTCAGCTGCAGGCGGTGTGGGTAGACGTCTGTTTACAAGGGGCGAAAGTTGCGAAACACCCATAACCTGTGGTCTTCTGTTGGTGGCCCCGCCATAGCCTAGACAGACCATAACAATTAACACCTACAGTTCAAATTAAAAGGCTGTTTATGATCTATTAAATCTACTTTTAGCCATGCGCTTACAGACCATTCAAGGGTGAAATATCTTAATATCTGCTTCATAGTGTTCATGATCCCCAGAGCTGACTTTCCACACAGAGTGAAATTCAGAGTCTGCATTCGAACCGTCGAACCCCTCCTCCTCTGCCACATAATGTTTGACTGTCCAATACTTTGATTTATGAATGTGCAAAACTAATGACTTTCTATTAACATCTTTTGGTTTAGTGCTAATTAGCAAATGTCATTATGCTAACATGAAAACTAAGATTGTAATCGCTAAACATAATACCTTAACATTTTAGCATAGTGACATTTCACTAAGCTTCACTGTGCAGCCTCACAAAGCTGCTAGCTGGACTTAAGACTCTTAGTCCTATTACTTAAGGAATACGTATGTTCCCTGTGTAGCACTAACATTAACAGCTCAGATGTAAAAATAATAATGATTATTTCATATTGGGTATATTTCAAAAACTCAACCCTGGTTCACAAGCAATTGAACAAATGTCAGCTGGTTTTGTTTATGATGGACTTTACTAACTTACCATCCCTCTGCTTTTATCTTGTCCACCAGGTTTGCAGCATCTGTAGCCTCCTCTGATTGGACCAAAATGAACTGCTGTTTCGGTAATTTTGCCTCCCACAGTCTGCATGTGAGAACAAGTCTTCACACAATACACATTCTTGACTAACCTGCAGATAGTTACACAAAGTCACATGCCTTTGTCCCCCTCAAAATGAAGTCAACAGAAAAGTATTAGATGTGATGTGTTTTTCTGCTAAATGAAGTACAGGCCATACATGGTAAGACACACACACACAAGACTTTGCTCCCACAGCAGTACAACTTCAATGTTTCTCTTGTTTGCACATGGCGTCATTTTCCTCGAAAAAGCAGTCACTGCATTTGGATTTCCAGTGATCATGATGACCTCCACAGAGATCTCCCTGCCAGCAGAAAGTAAAAAAGGGACAGGCCCTAACTCCTAGATAAACATTTGGAGACAACAAAATGTCTTTAATTTATTCTTCCAAGACTTATTACCTAAGCTGATTTCTAGGAACGTGAGAATTCCCTATGGAGTATCTTGTTCATAAAAAACAAACACAAAGAAAGAAAGAAAACTCCAGGCTTGGACACCCGTTAACTCACCGTCAAAACAAAATCATGATGCAATGTTTTCACAATATATCTGCTTTGTAAATGTTCAATGTTCAAAAAGCTCTTTATTTGTGCCTGTGCTGCAGCACCTCTTTTCACCCTCTGTCTGAAACCAGAGCCCAGTCTGCTCTGATTGGTTAGCTCTGTTGTGAACGGTCAACCGCTTAGAGATGTCCCGCCCCTTAATTTATCACGTACAATGTGTTGGAGGGAATAGAAGTGATGTCATGCAGGAGGGGGAGTGTGTGGGAGGGAAACTCCTGGAGGGAACACAGGCCTTTGCAGACCATTTACATGCACACAAACCTACAGTATAACACTCCAAAGGAAAAGGAAAACCCAAAAAATCCTCTAAACATTTTTAGGCTCTTTAGATTTAGACTTATTCTCAGCGAATACTTTCAAAAGTAGCTTAATACAAATATATTTGTAATCTATAAAAAACTCATCATGCTGTTTAACAAAAGGAGACATACAGCATTTACAAAATACAGGTGTCTGAAATGTCATTTCAGGTAAATGTGGATGAATAGATGACTCGAAGAAAACGTAGTGTTCTAATTTGGAACACTTTTGAGAGAAATGTAAACATTGTTTTTGTTGAAAGATGTCACAACTCGAAGATCGGATCAATTCTGAACTTTAAAATAGCCAGCAACTACAGCATATCACCCTCTTGAGTGCCAACAATAATCATATCAGATAAACAACATGGCAGGATATGTTATTCATAGTTTTTCACTTCTTTGATTTTCTCCAGATCCCAACAGTTGCTCAAATGCAGAACAAGAAGCCAAGGGGGAATCTCTTTCGGAGAACTAATCCACGAACTCAAGGAATCAGAGATTTGTTTTGTCCTCCTTCTCATGTGTTCATTCAGTGTTACGTCATATGTTTTTGATTTCTAGCAAAGCTGGTTTAGTGAAAACAACCAGCTCTATTGGATGAAGCGTCAAGGTGTCACGGTAGAGTGAAGGAAGCAGGACCCAAATGCAGATAACTCTGATAAACCTTTATTTCAAGGATAATGAAACTAACTCAGACAAAACAGAACACTCACCGGTGAACTCAGTCACCAACAAAAGACGAACCGACAAAGACAGACAGAAAAACCAGAACTTAAATACACACAAGACTAATCATACAAACAAGACACAGGTGAGGAGGGAGGAGAAAACACAGGGACACCAGGTGAACACAATCGGGTAAATTAGACACACCAGGGAAACTGACAGGGAACCACAGACAGATCTAAACAAGACAAAACACAACGCAGACAGAAAACCAAAGACAGATCTAGACAAGACACAACGCAGACAGAAAACCAAAGACAGATCTAGACAAGACACAACGCAGACAGAAAACCAAAAACAGATCTAGACAAGACACAACGCAGACAGAAAACCAAAGACAGACCTAGACAAGACAAAACACAACACAGACAGATCGTGACATTACATGAGAATCGTGACACAAGGGGCTTCAGATGTTGGCGGAGTGACAATGACCTTAGTGTGGGGACCAGCATCACAGATGTTAGCCATGTGGGAGGGGTAGTTCATCTTTAAAATATAATCAGAAGCTTTTTGTGATCATTTTTCACCACTTTTGGCACTACAACGAGATGTTTAGATGAGCGTCTTCCCCTTTATGTTTGGTATAAAAGACAACACAGAGTCTCTACAGGCTGCATGGTGTAATATAACTTATGTTGTAGCGTTTCGGCACTGTACCAAATGTAGGTCTCTCACCACGAGGCTTGAGAGCAATACACAGCTGCTGCAGATATACGCTTTGGGTCACAGCTGTGCGTCAAGTGCTTGTGAAGTATGAGCTGTTACGCAGCCTGTGTGAACAGCTGTTTTGATTGAAATGGATCTGTTCCATCAGACGTGTGTGACACAGACGACTGAAACACAAGGCTCACACTGTGTAGGCAAACAGTCATCAAAGTAATGCTTACATCACAGAAAGCTAATATCAATGTGCATGAATGTTTTCATATGATTGAGGACGTCAAGATATCATATGTGCATATAAGTAATGGAAAGTTAAATTATAAAAGCTCATTCATTGTGTACAATCAAAGCAGCAGAGAAATCAGCCACTGTGTGTTCCATTGGTGCCGCCAAGGTCTAAAAAGAGACAATTTGGCAAGATGGTGACAGTGAACAGTAAGGGCCTCATTTGGATAAAACCATAGGTGAAAGGGCCAAGGAAGAACCCGATCACTCTAAATTACGGGGAAGATATTCCATTTCTATGGCAGCATAATCTCAAAGTATAGATGAGGTCCACAGGACTGGTTGCTAGGGTCACAATTGAGGTGTACATATTGCTCAAAAGCGGCCAACAACACCAAATCCTACCAAAGAGATTACATTTCAAGCCTTAAGAACTTGGAGGGTGCACATCAATCTAAATAGCACATAGCGTTCGTGTAATTTAACAATAGTGGCCATAGACAACTGTTCTACTTTTGGAGCTAGTGCCAGCTTCTTAGAATGGGAAAGAATGGCAACTCAGCAAAGGATGCAATGCATTTTATTTTTACATGGAGCCTTAGTTTCCCCTGAAGATCGAACATAGGGTCCAACAGAATCGCAAAATGAAAACAAGGCTTATAGTGAACGAATCTAAATGCCCACGGTGTCATTATCCTACAGCCATGACATTGTGAGGTTCATATTGACCTCATAATGAAAATGTGAGGCAGAAAGGCTGTCCATTGCCTCAAAGAAATGCTTTGAACTTGTTTCTCAGATGTCAAAGATCCTCTCTGTACATTGTGTTCTGCTGGGAAACACATGTGTCTGTTAACGATATAACCTCCGCAGGGCACTTTGAGTCAAGCTGCTCCGTGGAGTTTCTCCTCACTTAAAATTCTCCTTACAAACTCAATACACAAGACTATAAATCAGTGGCACAATAGCACATACACAGTACTGTAATTTGTATCAACTCTGATTAGTTGAAGGCAAAGATGTACAAAGATGTGCATTGATGGGAATTAATTGAAGGTCTATTTTTGCATACCATACCATTTTTAATAACCAAAACTGGTATCATATGGACTAAAGCTTCATATTAAACACATTTTAAATGATTTTGAGTGTTAAATTGTTCATAGTTCTTGGTATGTCACCATACCATACCATACCATACCATACCATACCATACCATACCATGGTATGTCACCATGTCAGCCGCAAGGCAAGGCAAGGCAAGGCAAGGCAAGGCAAGGCAAGGCAAGGCAAGGCAAGGCAAGGCAAGGCAAGGCAAGGCAAGGCAAGGCAAGGCAAGGCAAGGCAAGGCAAGGCAAGGCAAGGCAAGGCAAGGCAAGGCAAGGCAAGGCAAGGCAAGGCAAGGCAAGGCAAGGCAAGGCAAGGCAAGGCAAGGCAAGGCAAGGCAAGGCAAGGCAAGGCAAGGCAAGGCAAGGCAAGGCAAGGCAAGGCAAGGCAAGGCAAGGCAAGGCAAGGCAAGGCAAGGCAAGGCAAGGCAAGGCAAGGCAAGGCAAGGCAAGGCAAGGCAAGGCAAGGCAAGGCAAGGCAAGGCTATTTATATAGCACTTTTCAACACAAGGCAATTCAAAGTGCTTTACAAAAAATGAAAGACATTAAGAAAAGGGCATTTAAAATCAGTCATTAAAAAGAAAAGCTAATAAAATAAACATTAAAAGAAAAAAGTACATGGATAAAAGTTACAGTGCAGTCTAAGATATGAATAGTTCAATTAAAAGCAGCGACAAAAAGAAAAGTCTTCAGCCTGGATTTAAAAGTAGTCAGAGTTGCAGCGGACCTGCAGGTTTCTGGGAGTTTGTTCCAGATATTTGGAGCATAATAACTGAACGCTGCTTCTCCATGTTTAGTTCTGACTCTGGGGACAGAAAGCTGACCAGTCCCTGAAGACCTGAGAGATCTGGATGGTTCACAATTTAGCAGGAGGTCAGAAATGTATTTTGGGCCTAAACCATTCAAAGCTTTATAAACCAGCAGCAGTATTTTTGAAATCTATTCTTTGACACACAGGAAGCCAGTGTAAAGACTTCAGAACAGGAGTGATGTGATCCACTTTCTTAGTGTTAGTGAGGACTCGAGCAGCAGCGTTCTGAATCAGCTGCAGCTTCCTAATAGATTTTCTAGTGAGACCTGTGAAGACACCATTACAGTAGTCGAGTCTACTGAAGATAAAAGCATGGACAAGTTTTTCCAAATCCTGCTGTGACATTAGTCTTTTAATCCTAGATATATTCTTTAGGTGATAGTAGCCTGATTTAGTAACTGTTTTAATGTGACTGTTGAAACTCAGGTCAGAGTCCATGACTACACCTAGATTTCTGGCTTTATCTGTTGTTTTGAACATTGCAGACTGAAGCTCAGCGCTAACTTTTATACGTTCTGCCTTGGCTCCAAAAACCATTACCTCAGTTTTATCTTTGTTTAATTGGAGAAAGTTCTGACACATCCAGTCATTGATTTGTTCAATGCACTTACTCAGTGTTTGAATTGGAGCATAGTCTCCTGGTGAAATTGTTACGTAAATGTGTGTGTCATCTGCATAGCTATGGTAACTTATTTTGTTGTTCTTCATTATCTGAGCCAGTGGTAGCATGTAGATGTTAAAGAGAAGAGGCCCCAAGATGGAGCCTTGAGGAACCCCACATGTCATATTTGTCAACTCAGATGTGTATTTACCTATAGAAACAAAGTTGTTTCTGTCCTTTAAGTAGGATTCAAACCAATTTAGAACTGTTTCCGAAAGTCCCACCCAGTTTTCCAGTCGGTCTATTAAAATGCTGTGGTCAACAGTGTCAAACGCAGCACTGAGATCTAATGCTAACAAGCCGCAATCGAGGAACTGACAGCCTCCAGGTGTTTGGGCATAACATTGGGAATATATATTATTAAAATCGATTAGCTGCTAACGGACAGTATGAACCTCACAATGTCATGGCTGTAGGATAATGACACCATGGGCATTTCAATTCGTTCACTATAAGCCTTGTTTTCATTTTGCGATTCTGTTGGACCCTATGTTCGATCTCCAGGGGAAACTAAGGCTCCATGTAAAAATAAAATGCATTGCATCCTTTGCTAAGTTGCCATTCTTTCCCATTCTAAGAAGCTGGCACTAGCTCCAAAAGTAGAACAGTTGTCTATGGCCACTATTGTTAAATTACACCAACGCTATGTGCTATTTAGATTGATGCGCACCCTCCAAGTTCTCAAGGCTTGAAATGTAATCTCTTTGGCTAATGGCTGTTGTCCATCATGGATAACCCCACCCATCCTCTCCACCTGCTGCTGGACAGACAGCGGAGCTCCTTCTCCAACAGACTGCTGCAGCTCCTCTGTCACAAGGACCGATACAGGAAAACACTCCTGCCCACTGCAATAACTCTGTACAATAAATCACCTCTGGCTGGAAGAGAACTCTCTGCTCCATAGCTTCTCTTGTAATAAAACCACGATGTGCATTTTACACATATATAATCTGTTCAATATTTAATATTCCATATGTCATATATTTATGTATATATATATATTTGTATATATAATATCTACATAATATCTATATTTTCTATTTCAACATGTATATTTTCTATTTTCTTTTCTTTCTATTCTTGTTTATTTCTAGTTTTGTTTTATTGTAAAATGCCTTGTCTTTTATGCTGCTGCAACAAAAACAATTTCCCAAATTGGGATCAATAAAGTACCATCTTATCTTATCTTAATCACTTTGGTAGGATTTGGTGTTGTTGGCCGCTTTTGAGCAATATGTACACCTCAATTGTGACCCTAGCAACCAGTCCTGTGGACCTCATCTATACTTTGAGATTATGCTACCATAGAAATGGAATATCTTCCCCGTAATTTAGAGTGATCGGGTTCTTCCTTGGCCCTTTCACTTATGGGTTTATCCAAATGATGCCATCTGTCATCGACACAGAGTTACATGCAGTGATGTTTGGCCATGTTTATAGAGGTTCCTGCAGCGTTTATCATTCAGGAAATAGTAAGAACTCCCAAGCAGCTCCTCAATCTTGTAATCAATGTTTTTAAATCTAAAATCAACAGAAATATTGGAATATGTGGTGTATCTCTTTTATTGAACCATCCTGGTGACTTTATTTATACAGTGCACTACATTTCAGGTTATCAAAGTAAGTTCACTGAAAAGCTGGCATGGAGACCAATTTGATCGATCTTCCAAAAGCCTTTTGCATAAAATCACAAAACGCTTAATTTATAAAAATACATCCGACAATAGAAGCCTGCCAAAAAATATATTACAGCTTAATATACAAATATATAAATGTACATTTCCATAAATACAATAATCTTGAGTTGTATTATGGCTAACAAGTAGGCCAGTCCATCACAATTTAGCTTGGCTTGCATATTTATTTTTCAGTAATTGTGTAATGTTTGACCTTTTTAAAATAAGGGCATGTTGTAGGCGGAGCTCAGTCAATGAGGTAAACTGTTGACCCATTCAGGAAGTAATTAGGAAGCACATAGCAAACACTGGATTTCAAATTGACCTCTTTCATAACGGAAAAAAAAACCTAATCTACAAAATGCATATCCTCATTCAACCGCAATCTCAATGACTTTCCGTCTACATGGCTGCAGGGGAGCCTTTTAAAGTGACCAGTGACACAATAACCAAAACAAATGAACAAGCAAGGCTTCACGATATCTGATATCAACACATGACTCATATTAAAATATATATATTATACTGATTAAAACGATATTTACAAAGACCACTGTGATTCTCCACTCAGTAGATAGTAAATACTTCTTTGGTCCCTGTTGATTGTTGGCGATTAGTGGTTCGGTAAAGACAAACATTTGGGACAATTTAAAAATAATTGTGCCTAGATTAAGCCTATCACTCTGAATCATTTATAAACCAACCATAATCCAAGTTCACATAGGCAAGGCAAACACACCACTTCACAGGTTCAATATGCATCAAATTCACTATAAACAGTACATGTGGGCTACAAAAGCATAAACAGATGATTACAAAGATATGAGAGCTACTGAAAGTGTTACTTTGTCATATGTGAGCACATCATCATGAACTGTAACATGTTTGAGCAGCAGATTATGCAGAGAGAGAGAGTAAAAAGAGCAGATTGATGTCCAGCACGGAGGACGAGGTTCTGCTGGTTGCACTGGGAAAAAGGGGGAAAGTCCGAAAAAAACCACAGCATCCAGTAAAAGTCCAGTTATTGCAAAGGCGTTCCCAGTGTTGCTCTGTGCTGTCCATATCTACAGGGAGAGAATGATGTGCGTGATGTGTTCAAGTGCAATTTCAGGCGTCAATCTGCCCGAAAAGACTGCCCTGCGTCTTCAGCTTGTGCATCCTGAGGAGGAGAAAAGACGACAGTGAGCCGGAGAGCTTCTGATAAAACAGGAGAACGTCACTTTTAAAGGTCCCCTATTATACTGTTTTTCATCAATATATTACAGGTCTCAGATATATACAAAACATGTCTCTGAAGTGTTTGTCTCCAAACACCAAACAGATCGTTGCAGCATTACCCATAATCCCCTCTGTTTCAGCCCTGTTTCAAAAGTGCTAATTCTCTGTCTGTTACTTTAGATGAAAATAAGGAGCCCCTCCCCACGCCCCTCTGAGAGAGATTTGGTTACAAAGAACTCAATGGTGCTCTAGGAGGAGATTCAGGTGATAAGGGGGGGGGGGGTTACCTTGGTTGCTGATTGGCTAATGGTTACACAAGACAAAACATCGTTATGACATCATAAAGTGGCCAAAATCTGATCAGCTCATTTTCAGACAGGTTTTTATAGAAATGGATCAGGACAAAAAGAGAGAGAATCTTTGTTCCTGAAACTTTCAGAGTCTCTTTCCACAGAGGGGACACATGTTGATGTAGAAGAGACATGAAGAAGAGGGGACACATGTTGATGTAGAAGAGACATGAAGAAGAGGGGACACATGTTGATGTAGAAGAGACATGAAGAAGAGGGGACACATGTTGATGTAGAAGAGACATGAAGAAGAGGGGACACATGTTGATGTAGAAGAGACATGGAGAAGAGGGGACACATGTTGATGTAGAAGAGACATGGAGAAGAGGGGACACATGTTGATGTAGAAGAGACATGAGGAAGAGGGGACACATGTTGATATAGAAGAGACATGAAGAAGAGGGGACACATGTTGATGTAGAAGAGACATGAAGAAGAGGGGACACATGTTGATGTAGAAGAGACATGAGGAAGAGGGGACACATGTTGATATAGAAGAGACATGAAGAAGAGGGGACACATGTTGATATAGAAGAGACATGAGGAAGAGGGGACACATGTTGATGTAGAAGAGACATGAAGAAGAGGGGACACATGTTGATGTAGAAGAGACATGGAGAAGAGGGGACACATGTTGATGTAGAAGAGACATGAGGAAGAGGGGACACATGTTGATATAGAAGAGACATGAAGAAGAGGGGACACATGTTGATGTAGAAGAGACATGAGGAAGAGGGGACACATGTTGATATAGAAGAGACATGAGGAAGAGGGGACACATGTTGATGTAGAAGAGACATGAAGAAGAGGGGACACATGTTGATGTAGAAGAGACATGAAGAAGAGGGGACACATGTTGATGTAGAAGAGACATGAAGAAGAGGGGACACATGTTGATGTAGAAGAGACATGAAAAGGTGGATTTTGCACAATAGGTGACCTTTAACAATAGGCTTAATATATATATATAACATTTAAAAAAGGCTTCTTCTAAACTTACAATTTCTCTTTACGGCTCATATTGTCTTCGCTTGACTTCACAAAGACTCCAGCTTCTCCTCCTCTGACGAGGAAGGCGAACTCTCCATCTTTTGAGCTGAAGATCACCCTGAAATCAAGCAAAACAATAAATGAAAAACTTAAATACAAAATGTAATACATTCTCAAAAGGATTCAAAGACTTCATTTGTCACGCAGCTTCAGCGTAGTTGTTGGCAATGAAAATCTTAAGTCTCCTCCATACATAGAAGAACAGACATACAAATAGAAGCTTTTTAATGCTCCAGTCACCACAAGTCTACAGTCTGAATTCTCACTGGATCTGTTCTGGCTTACACTAGATCAGGGGTGTCCAAACTACGGCCAGAAAGTATAATGGAATACGGCCCACAATACATTTGATTGATTTTGATAATTGAACTTATGAGGCAATATATACCTCTAAGTGAGCGGTCCATCCCTTCGTATATTTTTCTGTATGTGGCCCTCGGTGAAAGAAGTTTGGATACCCCTATACTAGATAATCATGTTTTTGTGAGCTTACTTGGACTGCGTCTCCCCGGCCTTGATGCGCATCTTCCTGATGTGGAACTTGCTGCTGCCCCACCAGTCGGACCAGCTGATCATGGATTCCTTCTCCCAGCGCAGCTTCACGATCATCAGGTCTCCAATGTCCACATCGGTGGTGATGAGGAAGGACAGGGTGGTGTTACTGTCCAGCACCGGCCTGTGGGGGGGGGGGAGGAGGAGGGACGCTCAATAATCTGCAGCTGGTATTTACCATCATTACTGTATTGAATCAGAAAGAGGTTTATTAGCAGGTCGGTTGACACGTTCGAGGAATTTGACTTGATGTCGTGGTGCATATATTAAAATCTAAATAAAAAAATTATAAGAGAATACAGATAGCAAACTATTGTTTTGGTACACAATGACTGTTTTCTTATTTTATTACTGCCAAATTGTATTATTTCTTTCTATGTAAATACTGCTATATTTCACTATTTCTTTTTAAATATTTTTTATTATAGTTTTCTTATAATAGTTCTCTATCTGTGTTTTTAATTGTTGTTTTACTTGTATGTATGCACCATGACATCAAGTCAAATTCCTCGTACGTGTCATCCTACCTGTTTTAGCACCTACCGTATTTACATCTTCTCTGCATCTCTTGTATGCATGTTTTTATGAATCTGTTATTCCATTATGTGTATTTATTGTGTTCCTTTCTGTTGTCTTCTTATTAAGTGTTAATGATTATGTAAAGCACTTTGAATTGCCTGAGAATGAACTATATAAATAAACGTACCTTACCTGGTAATAAACCTGTTTCTGATTCTGATTTCTAATTCTAAGAAGCGTCACATGTCCAAAGACTGCAAAGCAACACTAAACAATGAAGTCAAAGGAAACATCAAACTATGCGAATGCAAAAATGTCCAGCAACAAGTATCAGCTGATCAGGCATGATTGTGTTTTGATTTTCACATAACAATTTAAAATATATAAGCTACGTACAGGACAAAGGGGATGTCCTCCTTCTCTCCGTGGGTGCCGAACAGAGAGATCTTCATCGGCTGCTCGTTGAAGCTCATGATGTCCTTACCGAAGAGATGCACCTTCACTTGATAGTGGAAAACTACGAGAGAAGAAACACACAGTTTACACCTCAGACACTTTCAGAGCTAAATGTGTTCTCAGCTACCATTGCATTACATTACACGTTACTTGTTAGACGCTTTTATCCAAAGCGACTCACATACTCAATACTGTGGGCAATCCCCACGACATGCTGACTGCAGTGGGGTTTGAACCTGCGCTCCCAACACCAAGGCTCTATCCACTGCGCCACACGCCTCCCTACCGGCCTTACGTCGCTCATACCACTACTTAAAGTTGGTGTTATAACTTTAAAAGCCCTTATGTAACCTTTTCATCTCCATGTGACTCTCACAGCGCTCAGATTTGTGCTAAATCCTTGTTGGTGACATTCGTACACCATTATATATATTTTCATATTTACTAAACATGCTAATCTGTGCACAGAGACAAATTGATCCTAAAATAACTTGTATCACATGCAGCGGTGTCGCGTTCCCTTTGCTAAATACCCATGACCTCTTCATCATGTGACCTCCTGAGTTGAACATGTCTACAACATGTGTGAAAGTTGTGAGTAGACATTAACAGGGTATATGCAGGAATCCTGAAGTCAAATGTAATTCCTTTCAAGACCTTGTTTAAGACCCTTTCCATCAGCACTTTGAGTTTTAACCGGTTACCTTGGCGACACACTTTACCTCACATTGACTATATACAGTATTGATTGTCCTTCCTCCTTATCTTCCAACCATTTGGACGCAAACTTGTATTTCCCCATAACGATGTTGTTTAACAACCGGCGTAAACGGACCTCCGCGCTATCAAGCAGTGAGCGTGCGATGTCCTGTTCAGATGACGTCAAACCCAACGGGATGCCATCAATAAACTACACAGAATCACACTACACACCTACGCCATGATTACATGCAGGCAGACTGTAGAATACAACCTCTTTGGACCATTTATATACTTATTGAAAACAAGCTACAAAATGTAATACCTTGGAAAATGCCGTTTAATACTTTTTTAATAGCCTTAATTTTCGCTAAATTGATTTATCAACTTCTAATACTTTTTAAGACCCCGCGGACACCCTGTGTAAACACCAGCTATACTAATTCCACCTCACCAATAAGGACATTCAACAACAGCTCACACATTGAGGTTTACTCCAATTATGGTATCCATTAACTCTGCGCTCTCTAATCCTCTTTACACACAACTTCTCTACAGTAGCTCAAAGATTCTCACTCCACGATCATGGCGGCCTAAATAATTCACTACGACGATATTATTGTGATATCGTCAAAAAAAAAGAACGTTGAATTCATCTTTAACTGTGATCACTTTTAACTTGAAATTTAGTAATGACTATTTTGTCTTTTTTATTCACTTGTAATCGGTTTTTGTTATCTGCCGAGAGACAAAGGATGTACATTTGCCTTTGCTAAACCCAAAACAATTTATTTTACACCGATGTTCATTAAGTTGTACCGTCCTTTTCAAATATATAAATTGGTTATTGTGCGTTTTTACATATTTTTTGAGCAAATACTTCACTTTGTGTGAGGCTTTGGGGGAAGGAGACAAAGTGACACTGGAAAGACATTTTAAAAAGCTTCGGAAAATGGAAATAAAAAAAGAGGCGCTGTTTTTACACAATATTGATATATTTGTTTCGTAGATCAGGGTTCATACACTTTTTCACCAATGATTTTCAATGACTTCTCCATGACCTTTACCTAATTTTCCATGACCAAAAAATTACTCTTTCTCAGCGTTACCACTGATTTATTTTTATTTTAACATGATAAGCTGGAAAATAAGGTCTGCATCTGAAACATGTTGTGTCTATCTAAAACCAATCAAATAGGCTTACTAGCTTCTACACGCTAAAGCAACTCAAATCTCTCACCAGCAAAACACCTCGTCAGTTAAAAGCCATTTTACGTTTCATTACTAAACGATACAGCATTTATTATCGTTATAGTATTACTATTTCGGCAATTAGATAAAATATAAATTATATTTGATGCAACTTTGGTTACATTTCCATGACTTTTCCAAAACTTTGGGAAAAATATTGTTTTCCATGACTTTTCCAGGGCCTGGAATTTACATTTTGAATTTCCATGACTTTTCCAGGTTTTTAATGACCCTAGGAACCCTGATAAATATAACATTTTTAAACACATTTATTGAATAAATCATGGTAGCGCTTGAACCAAAAAAAAAAAATCTATATTTTTGATCAATACTTCGATATTGATGTCGCGACAATACGGTGGTGTTCAGTGCTGCTGCTTTCATCAAATATTTACACAATGAGATGTTTGATGAATAGTCGTCATAAAAGGTGATATGAAGACTAAGTTGGTGAAGGCAAATACTAGAAGAGTTGTGTTGATGTAGAAAATGTACCACAATGGAGCCTTTAAAACTAGGAAAAGACACTTATCAATCCAAATTCTTTGACGTTTTATATCAGGATACTTGTTATAATTTATCTCTTCTATTTTCTGAGCTGCAAGCGCTTCATCAAATGTTCTCTCTCTGGGTGTTTACCTTTGTAGGGACTCATGTCGCGGGTCTTGAGGAACATCTTGACGCTGCGGGTCATGCGGACCTTGTTGATGTTGTAGCCCAGCTTGTTGCAGCGGTTCTTCCTGCAGCTCAGGCACATGCCCTTGTTGAAGGCCTCTCTGGAGTTGCAGCGGTACGCCATGCTCTGCTGCTGCGTGTTCAGCAGAGAGTCGATGAACAGGTGGATGGAGCGCTCGTGAGAACACTTGACGAGCTGGTCCATATCTGCAGCACACCAGAAAGTACAGAAGCTGTGAAACCTCTGCGTTTTCCATCACATCACGTCATGCTAAACGAGAGAATGTCTTCCTCATGTGTATGGCTCTTTACATGTCAGGGCTGACCCAAGAGGCATTTCTCACTTAGTCCTGCATTGCTCAGTTAGAACACGTACAGCAGCTGAGCTGGAGGACAAACTGTGAATCTCTGACTGTAGAAAAACATATTTACCTTGCAGCCGTGAAAGCTTTTACAATCTCAAAGTGTCGTGTCAACTTACAAAAGCCTATAGAAACTGTTAACAACTACAGTCTGAACAACAGGTTCTCGTACAGCTGCGATTAGTCCATCAACAGATAAATAACCTCCAATTATTCTAATAATCCAATCATAAAGTTATTTTCATCCAATGTTTGGCACAAAATACTGTTCGCAGCTTCTCAAATGTGGAGTTTTTTTTCTCTTATTTCATAATAAACTAAACATCTATGGGTTTTGGACTGAAACAAGACATCACCTTGGACTTTGTGGAAACTGGGATGGACATATTTCACTATTTTCTGACAATGTATAGGCCAAAAGATTAATAAAGACAATAATCAATAGTTACAGGCATATTTAGGGGTTCACTTCTGGCCCCTGATGTCTCATACCAAACAGGTCTTCTCTGTAAGCCCAGCCCATCATCATCTCAAGCAGAGTAAAGTAAGGACCAATGAGAAGTGATGTGAGTACGTACTCTGGAGGCCCTTGATGCCCGACAGTGCGATGCCCATCAGCGTGTTCTGGATGTCACAGCCCGGCTGGAAAGTGCCTCCGTTGGGGTAAATGTCGATGTGGCCCACGGGTCTCTGGATGCCGATGCTGCGGTCCGGGGACCCCCTGGTGTTGGTGTGCAGGACGTCCACAAACTGGGCATCGCCTTTGGACAAAATGTTCTGATTGTCTGCATGCTCGAAGGTGGGACCTGCAGGATCGAGACCTGGAGACGAGAACAGAGAAAGAGTTGTTGATTCTGCACATTCTCCATGAAGAAAGAGTGAGATACTAAACGACCCAAAGCAGAAGAAATGTATCTTTCTATGGATTTATCTTCCTGTAATCTGTGCTGTCCTGCTTTTCATTCTTACCCTATTGCTGTTAAACTACTGAATTTCCCCACGGAGATTAATAGAGGTCCATCTTATTTTATCTTACCTATAAAACTGTACTTTGAAGCATTTTAGTTTTGGGTTTCATTTGGTCTCTTTTTGCAGCTTTGCAGGAGCTCAGAACAAAGTGACGCAGTGATTGTTAACTCTTCATTTCCTCCTGCCTCGCATAATGAGAAACATACCAAATATTATAAGCAGGTCAGAGAGATTTCAAAGCTCTATAGTGACAAATAGTGGGATTGGACCCGCTACACTGGCACCGACCGGCCACATGCAGACAATACAGGCCAGGAATGCAGAAGATTACATTTCACTGGTGTGTTGCTTTTACGAGCAGGGCCCTGATATTACATTACAGTGTGTTATGGTATGTTTGCACGCGTGAAATCATTGCCTCAGAGAGAAACTGTGGACATTATAAGCGCCTATTAAAAAAGAAAAAGGTTTAGAGCTAAAACACATGGTTGTACAATGTAAGACACTTTCCAGTTTCTCTGTATGTAGAGGAAGCAGCAGAGCATACTTTGGTTAAAGGGGACATACTCTGCTGATTTTCAAGTTCATATCAGTATGTAGTGTCTCTACTTTAAAGAGTCCTCTCCTGCTGATGTTCAGGTGTATATCAGTATGTAGTGTCTCTACTTTAAAGAGTCCTCTCCTGCTGATGTTCAGGTGTATATCAGTATGTAGTGTCTCTACTTTAAAGAGTCCTCTCCTGCTGATGTTCAGGTGTATATCAGTATGTAGTGTCTCTACTTTAAAGAGTCCTCTCCTGCTAATATTCAGGTGTATATCAGTATGTAGTGTCTCTACTTTAAAGAGTCCTCTCCTGCTGATGTTCAGGTGTATATCAGTATGTAGTGTCTCTACTTTAAAGAGTCCTCTCCTGCTGATGTTCAGGTGTATATCAGTATGTAGTGTCTCTACTTTAAAGAGTCCTCTCCTGCTGATGTTCAGGTGTATATCAGTATGTAGTGTCTCTACTTTAAAGAGTCCTCTCCTGCTGATGTTCAGGTGTATATCAGTATGTAGTGTCTCTACATGTCTCCATGGTTTAATGTTCAAAAAGCTCTTCATTGTTCTCATACTGCCTGTGCTGCAGCACCTCTTTTCACCCTCTGTCTGAAACCAGAGCCCAGTCTGCTCTGATTGGTTAGCTGATTGGTCAACACCTTAGAGATGTCCCGCCCCTTAGCCTATCACGTACAATGTGTTGGAGCGCTAGCCAATAGAAGCACGATTGTTATAGAAGTAAACAAAGGGGGAAAGTTGGAAGAAACTTTAGGATTTTAGCCTTTGAAGAATTCACATGCACGAAAACCTGTATAACACACTAGAGGAAAGGGAAAGGGACATGCTAGGGCCTCTTTAAGATGTCCTCACCTGTTATTCTGCTGATTCTATGGTCAGTAAGGTCTCCGGCAATTCCCGCCACATGCGCTCCAAGACTGTACCCCAGCAGATGGAGCCTCTCCCAGGGCAGCTGCAGCTCTTTCTGAAGGAGAAGGAGAATGAAACGTGTCAGAGGAACATGTTGATATGTGTTCAAACAGTTCAAAGGAGAACCCCACAGACTTGCCGAAGGCTGTTCTTGGCAAAGCACTGCAGCACTCTGTTTAAGTATTAATGGAGTCTGGGTCCAAAATAGTTTGTACAATTGTGTGGTTTGCCAAATAAATTAAGCAAGCTTGGAACGCACGTAGACAAACAGGTGAGAGCGTTTATGCCTAAAGCCTCTGTTTGCATTGATGTCGATCGAACAAAGTCTGCACTCCACTCAAAACTCAGCCTTGTAATGAGAGGCTGCCGCAGACATGGCAATAACACACACACACACACACACACACACACAACAAATTTGTGACAGATTTGTTGGCTGCTCTCATATCTTTGCTGGCAGTAGGGCGATATGATAAGAGAATCAAATATCACAATATTTTGAAACTAAATACTTGATAGTGATATTGTGGCGATCTTTTAGGTACTAGTAACAAAAGTCAGTTGACGACTGGTGCTTTTATAAAGTATTTACACGCATTTTGATAAATAGTCATCAGTAATGTGGATAAAATGAGTAATTGGGTGAAAGTAGATAATAGAAAAGGCAAAAGAAAATCTGGTACATTTATAAAATGACGTCACTAACCATCTAAACCAGGAGAAATCAACATTTATGATGTTATAAAATCCGAAAGTCTCAAATCAAAATAAGGATATAATATTAACATATCGCCCGGGTCTGGCTGTCAGATTATCAAAGAATCTGTCGGACAATAAATGACGAGGTGGATAAATGCCACTTTTTGACATGGACCATGAGCAGTATATGATCCAGTTGTTAGCCAGCAACTTTTAGCTGCACTGCTCCCAAACTCTGGAACTCCCTCCCCCTTCACATCCGACAGTCTGACACAATCACCACATTCACGTCCCTCCTCAAAACCCACCTGTTCAGATCGGCCTACTCACTGTAGTGCTCCCTATCACCTGTCTCCCCTGAATAACCCGTCCCAAGTCAAGTGTCCACTTTAATTGTCTTCTCCATGATGGTATGTTTTTATCATGTTCTGTTGCCTCTTAGAATATTCAACAAATTGTACGGTGTCTTTGGATGTCATGAAAGGCGCCTTGAATAAAATGTATTATTATTATTAGATCAAAACTTAGACTCACTTGGATCCAGGAGACGAACTTGGCCACGTCGCGGCCCACCAGCTTGGTGTAGGCGGCGGAGGTCGGGTAGTGCTGGTTGGCTCGGGTCAGCCAGTCCACCACGATGACGTTGGCGCTGGGCTCTCGCTCGTACAGAGCAGACACCAGTTTGGGCACCCAGCTCTCAAACATGCCTGTCACCTACAGAAACACACACACACACATGTTCTAGTGTCAGCTGCAGGGTGGCGTGATTTATTGTGGCCCCTCGTTCCGTGGTTATGCTGTGAATGGAGTGAAGCCAATGCGTCATCAGGTTCAAATCTGACTGGCTGTAAATCACATTACAGAGGAGATGCCTGCAGAGAGAACTCACTGCCCTCAGCGTGAAATGTGAATATAATGTACAGATGCTCATCATTTTCAACTTGGATCAACATTTATGATCAGTTTATTGTCATTGGCAAGACTCAAATTCGATTTAATGATTATGCAATGCACTGTTTTGGGCATTTTCTCATCTGATATTTTGGTGTAATTGGTCAAAACATCTGTTTCTCTCAGTATCAGTAGTAGACTTTTAAAGATATAATCAAAACAGTGAACCTTATGTTGTGTCATAATGATGGAGAGAGAGAAAGAATACGAAGACACAGAATGACATATATTTTCTTCTTGACATGTTTGTATTGTTATTTCAATGATTAAATTAACCAGTATGAATGCAAAAGAATCAAATTCTCAGTACATTTCCCCCGTATTACCAATGGTTAATAACATTACCTACATGCACATCACACAAATACAGGCTTAATTTACAAATGAGGCACTTATAACAACACGAATTACATTTAGTGTTACATACCGTCCAGCCATGAATCATGATGAAGGTCTGGGTCTCGGGGTTGAATTCACACTCTTTGATGGTCTCCGGTCTGCCGGGCACGATGTAACACATGTCCTCGTCAGGGATGTCCTGAGTGCGCAGGGAGAACTTGGTCACAATGTCAGTGAAGTCTGTGATCCACTCGGTGGTGGTGGGCAGGGGAGCATCGGTCACTGTGCTGTTTACTGTTACAACACACACACACACACACACACACACACACACACACACGCACACACACACACACAGAGAGAGAAACACAGGAGATTAGATTATGATGGTATGACAGAAATGTAGAGGATTTCATGCACAAATCAGGGATTGTCACTAGGATATAATGTACATGTATAACATTATTATAACACCTTCCAGTTTTATGCACACAAACAACAACCAAGCAACAGTTTAAAATAGTTTGGACAGTTGCACCAGACATAATAACAACAATAAACCTATATTTGTCATGCAGATTACCGCACGCTGCTGCTCTTCTTAAACATATAAAGTGACCACTATTAACACCAGTATGAGTGTTCCAGTAGAGACATACAGTAGAGCATGGCAGTGTCGCCCCCTTTTGTCTCATAAAATGCATAAAATGAATTAAACTTAAAAAGATTTAAATTCCTAAAGGGATTGAGTGTATTTCCGAAAAATAAATCGGGGTAAAAAAAAAACGAATAACATTCTTCCACTGTTTTGTTTTGAGTCTTTGAAAAAGAATCAGATAACAGCTAATTGGTTTAAAGTGGAGGGATGTCACTACAGAGAGGGGGGTATAAGTCTTTCTGAAATAATTGTTTTGGTATTTTAACTTGAACAAACAATGCGATTTTGTTAGATTTTGAAATGCTCTGTTTTTGTATGTTAGTGTGTCCTTTTCCTCTGTCCGTTCTCCAGACAAAAGGCCTGCAGCAGCCGGGTCTCTTCATGCACACATGGACCTGAGGCACTGAAATGGGATGCAGACCTGCAGACCTGAGCAGGGTTACTCTCGGTCACATCGGAACAGCATGCATTCATTAACCTGTTTATTATTCCTAAAACTACTGCCGATGAATCACCATATCAATAATCTGCCTAACAGGTTATCTCAATAATAAAAAAAGACAACGGTGAGGGAGGCTCTTACCAAACTCAGTGGTGGTGAGTTCAGGCTCAGAAGAAAAAGTTGCAAAGATTTTTCCCAAAATTATCCAAACAGACAAAAAACAGATATTTTCTTTTCCCATATTAATGAGAAGTTTTTTTTTCTAGAATATCCTGAATGAAAAAAAAGGGCTTTAAAAAAATCGTTGTATATCCAAGCGAGTGTTTTAAAGCACAAAAGTGTCAGCAGTTGCGGTTTAGGGTAAAGTTTCTGATGGTCTGTCACCGTTGCCGCTCCAAGTCATCTTTATGGGTGGCTCATTTGAATACTCACACCTGATTGGCTGAGAGTTGGAGGGCGGGGTTTCAACTTTGTCCCGTCTCTGATTCACAGACATCATTCAAGGCTGAGTAACAGCAGCGGAAGGGTCTCTATCAATAGATTTCCACATTTAAAACAAGGTGTTTAAAGGTTACAGAGAAAAAACAGGAACAAACTCTCATTGTGAAAATTAGTTTTTTATAACTCGTAAAAGGTTGTTGAAAAGGACAACCGTGATTTATGAGATTCATTGTTGTTTTGACATATTTAAGCCAACTAAAATCGTGAATTGTAATTGTTACTAGTAAAAGTATGCAGTATTATTAGTAAAATCAATAAAGTTTGAAAAAGTACGAAAAATGCTCCTGTCAGTATTTAATCCTACATTATAAACCATTTTATTTTATTTCTGATGCTTTTATTTTGTAACAATGCAAAATGTTGTGTGTACATTTTTATTTTTTAAGTAACAATTAACTATTGTAATCAAAATGATGTCGTAAAAAAGTCTAATATTTTTCCCAGAGCTGTTAACTGCGCATACGTTGGCACTAAATGTATACATTACATTACATTGCATTTAGCTGACGCTTTTATCCAAAGCGACTTACAATAAGTGCGTTCGACCAACAAAATACAAACTTGAAGAAAACAGAATCATATAAGTACATCAGGCTTCATAGAGCAAAAACATTTCAAGTGCTACTCAACTGGCTTTAGATAAGCCAGCCCTTTATTAGTAGGCCTATATAAGTGCTTTGTTAATAGTTCTATCGCTCAAAGTGGAGTCAAAAGAGATGAGTTTTCAGTCTGCGCCGGAAGGTGTGTAAGCTATCTGCTGTCCTGATGTCAATGGGGAGCTCATTCCACCATCTTGGAGCCAGGATAGCAAACCCACGTGTTTTTGCTGATGGGAACTTGGGTCCCCTTCGCAGCGAGGGTGCAGCGAGCCGTTTGGTTGATGCAGAGCGTAGTGCACGTGCTGGGGTGTACAGTTTAACCATGTCCTGGATGTAGGAAGGGCCAGATCCATTCGCAGCATGGTACGCAAGTACCATTGTCTTGAAGTGGATTCTAGCAGTATACTGAGTTACCTCAATGTGTGCTTTAGTACAGTACTTGAGTAAGAAAATATATAATGTTTTGTACAGTCAACTTATAGTTCTGTTTCTTACAATTTAATGAAGTTTACTTTATTTCACCCGGGATAATGCACTCAGAATACGGCTCTCCATGTGTCCTTAGTAAATAAATAAAAACAGAAATAACTATACAACGAAAACACATTAATAACAATAAAATCTCTTGATAAAGTATTGTTACAAGCTAATAAATGATTAACGTATCATACCGGAATACATCAAACCTCTCCATCTCCAGACATATTTCCGAGAGGATCACACTTTTCAGACTTTCAAACTATGACTAAATTGTCACTGATGTTTACCTTATCAGATCTATATATTGGGATTGTTTATGGGTTATTTGATGCCACGGTGAGGTCACTGAGCTCAGGTTAGATCATCTTTCACAAATCCTCAGAGCTGTGGGGGTGTGAGAAAGCCTCCTCTCCTATTGGTGGAGCACAACTCAAAACCAATGGCAAAGCACAAGAGGGCATCAAATGATACTAACATGTCTTCTGATTGCATGCAAAAAGGGGTTGGAGAGATAACCGAGGACGAATAAATAATCACAAGTGCATTCCCATCTAATATCCTGTAACAAAAACAAGATGCCGAGATACATTCTTCATGATGCCAGTTAAACCTCTCTGCAGCACTTCGGGGCATCGAAGAAACTAAAATCAAAGACACATGTAGAGAAGACATGTGGGAAGAGAGTGTTATGAGGATTTTCAGGGCAAAACACCTGCGTGAGAATATTTTAAAACCTCTGCTTTCTCTCAAAACCAAACCAGATCAACCGATGACCTCCTAGATATTCTGACATCACAATAACGTTTCTGTGTTTATAAAAAACGTTTGTCGTTTTTTTCAGAGAATCAGCTCAAGCCTGTAGAGATATGTGAATGAGATTTGGATTAAGGAAATCACGTCAGGAGCGTGATTTAGATTCAGGGCTGTGTTGTTTAATGCAAAGGCACATTGTTTTCCCTTTTACCTGAACAAAATATGTATTGTCTTTATCTTTTATCTGTCCTTCAGTTATTTATTATTTTGTTCTAATAAATGAATGTTTACAGATTAACTCAATAAGGGTATTTGAACTCCTCCATCTTAATTTGTGATCATGCATATAACATAATCTGCATTGTTTTGTTTTATATCACATGTCACTTGTTAGACGCTTTTATCCAAAGCGACTTACATACTCAATACTGTGGGAAATCCCCACAGGAGCAGTTTGGGGTGAAGTGACTCAGGGACACAACGACATGCTGACTGCAGTGGGGTTTGAACCTGGGAACACCAACGCACTAGTCCACTACGCCTTTAATGTTTAAAACAAATCAAACAAAAAGAAAATAATCTGATGTTTGTCATTTTTACTTTATCTGGCTTCTCTTCGTCATTGTTTTGGCTCTCAAAATCCAGATCAAGATGTAAATAATAACAATAACTGCAAAACCAACCAACTGTTTAAAATATACCTTTTCCCCCTCTTACCTCAGTAAACCCTGGTTATACATAGACAAGTATTATGTCTTATTAAAAAAGGATTTACTAATGGAGCTTCTGTGACACATTTTCTGAAACGTTGTCATGTTGAAAAGCAATTATCTTAAAATATGTGAAGGTAATTCAAATCTGTGGCTGATTAAATAACATCAAGTCTTTTTTCAACCTGTCATTGAGAGCTTTTGGAATCTGATTCACTTTCCTTCATGAACTTTTTCTGCCGATTGCACCCTGTTGTCCTCAGTAATTAACTTCTGCTCTATATTTACCTTCTCTAAATATAGTCCCCTATTTCTTTTATCGTTTGATTATACATAATGTTTGCCTGTGTGTGTGTGTGTGTGTGTGTGTGTGTGTGTGTGTGTGTGTGTGTGTGTGTGTGTGTGTGTGTGTGTGTGTGTGTGTGTGTGTGTGTGTGTGTGTGTGTGTGTGTGTGTGTGTACATGTGTGTGTGTGTGTGTGTGTGTGTGTGTGTGTGTGTGTGTGTGTGTGTGTGTGTGTGTGTGTGTGTGTGTGTGTGCGTGTGTGTGTGTGTGTGTGTTGTGTGTGTGTGTGTGTGTGTGTGGTCTAGCATTACTATACTTGTGGGGACCTACATCTGTTTACATAGTCACGTGTGAGGACTGGCTTCCCTTATGGGGACAAATTGGAGGTCCCCATGAGGGGAATCATTAATTTTAGGGTGAAGACTTGGTTAGGTTTAGGATTAGGGTAAGGTTAAGGGTAAGGGTAAGGGTTAGGCATGTGTTGGTTATGGTTAAGGTTAGGATAAGTCTCCAGGAAATGCATGTAAGTCAATGTAATGTCCCCTGAAGTGATGTATACATGATGTGTGTGTGTGTGTGTGTGTGTGTGTGTGTGTGTGTGGGGTGTGTGTGTGTGTGTGTGTGTGTGTGTGTGTGTGTGTGTGTGTGTGTGTGTGTGTGTGTGTGTGTGTGTGTGTGTGTGTGTGTGTGTGTGTGTGTGTGTGTGTGTGTGTGTGTGCGTGTGGTGTGTGTGTACCAGTGATTGTCAGGGAGGTGATGCTTATGGTCCAGACCAACAAACCCAACCCAGTGATTAGAGAGAGGAGTGACGCCTCTCCTCCATCCTGTGATCTCAGTCCTTCATCTCTGAACTCACTTCTCTACATCCCAAGGGGGAGATGCAGCGATAAAAGACGGGAGAAACGTCATGTCCTGTACGAGGCACACCCTGGCATGGTTTAGAATAAATCTGACGTTTCTGAGGGGTTTCCAAAAGCAAAAAGAGGGGGAAAGGATTCAGAAGAAACAACGAGAAGAAGAATGAGAGCAGAACTGATCAAAGACAGGCAAATAAAATGCAACATAACAACAGTTTACCATGCAGCAGTGTTTTGCCTCATATACAGATCTGATATTTAAGACAGCGGATACTTCTATTGTACTAAAGACCATTTATTGACACAGTGGCACAGTCATGACGTACTTTGGAAGGCCAACCAGATAGTTAGCATTGCAAGAGCTCCGTCGACAAAGAGCCCATTTCAAAAAGTTAAGTCTTAGACTAACCCATGTTTATGCTACTTACATATATTATTCAGCAGGATAATCCACACATATTGACACTACTTTAATAATTTTTGAAGCATGAAATAAAATATAAAAAGCTAATGTAATGCTATAAAAGAAACACTGCTAAGCTAGCGGCGGCTAATGTTCAGCCTGTTGACATTTTGTAGTCTTTTAAGACACGTAAAAGCATTAGACATTCACCAGGGGAGAATTTACTGACAAATAACAAAACGTCTCATAAGTTTGTATTAACCACAGACCTTATTTCAGGCTTCAAATTTAAACAGATTGCACAAAATGTTGACTTTTAGACGTGCAAACAGGAAGTGCTGAAATGTTGACCGGTTTAGGACTCACTCCCGCATCTCTCCACATCACCATTCTATTATATTTTCTTTTCTATTCTATTTTATTGTATTTACTTGCATTATTTCAAGTGTTTTATTGCGTTGCACTGTTGGAGGAGCATGGGACCTAAGATCGACATAACTAAACTGTAGCTATGTACGTATGACAATAAAAGGGTTAGGGTTATCTTAATCTTGAATCTTGAATCAGATATTGTAAGAGAGGGGTGCAGCTGTATGCAGATTTGGATTTGCAACGGAGTGGACTTGTAATGAGATCAATCTGCGCCCTTGTTATGATAAGTAGAGGTGAATGGGGTGGAGGAGGGCCGCAGGGGTGATGCCTGAAATGACAGCTGAGGAGGAGAAAGGAGAACAGATTTCAAAGTTTGACAGCAATGATTGGCTCTTGGAGATCATGGC